CGTTGTGGCTATTTAACATAAGAATGATTACTGGATGTTTAGCTAGGGTAGCTTGAGAGGTGAACCACTGTGGCCCCTTACATTTTCAGCAGTGGGCAGCCTGGGGAGGCCTGCATAAGATGCCTGGGGTAGCCAAGTAAGTGTGAAGGCCAGGAATAGTTATAGCAGGCTCGAGATAGGGTGACAGGCATATATGTAATGCCCTGTTAGGTTGTCTCTCTGGGAAATCGCATCAACCCCTAAGTCATATGAGTAGAGCATAAAACAGGATCAACAAGCATTAAACTAAAATTAGGGCATAATGGGTTAGCACTGGAAGCCATGATTAAACCATGTGTGTCAAGTCCTGGATCTAGATGACACAACATCTACAAACCTGGATCTAGATGACAAAGTCAGTTTTAGCCAACTCCGAGGCTTTGGAACTTCCGGGTGTAACTTGGAGTCAGTCCATGGAGGTTGATAAATGTGGCAACCCTCCAGCCCCAGGTTGTGGGGGAGGGCCTACATCGATGTACCACGGACTTGGGTGCTCACGGCTGAGTCCGAGTCCTTACCTGGCAGGATGCGGCAGGATCGCTGGGATGTTTGCCGCCGGCCATCCTGGATCTAGATGACTAAGTCAGTTTTAGCCAACTCCGAGGCTTTGTAACTTCTGGGTGTAACTTGGAGTCAGTCCATGGAGGGGGTTAAATGTGGCAACCCTCCAGCCCCGGGCTGTGGGTGAGGGCCTGCATTGATGTACCACGGACTCGGGTGCTCATGGCTGAGTCCCTTTTCTTACCCTGGATGCGGCAGGATCGCTGGGATGTTTGCCGCCTGCAGTGTCGGTTCTTCTGCCTCCGTGGGTGATGCATAGGGGGAATATCCCCGGTGGCTCTCGGCCCAGGCGGGCTCAATGCTGGAAGCGTATCTGCTTGGTGAGTAGTTGTGCCCGAGTGTGGTTCACGGACCCTTTCTCCGCTTCTCTTCCATCCGCATTTCCAGCCTTGTGTTGCTGCCGTGCTTTGGGCCTCTAGTTGTGCCCAGAAACGGGCGAAGAGTGCATCCAGATGCTGGGACATTTGGTACAGTGCCGAGCATCCATTTTGCACTACATGTTGTGTCCAAAGCTCAGGAGAAGGAGACCTGTCCGCCATTTTGAAGAGTAGCCTTGTGGCCTGTTCCCCAGTGGTGACTGCTGCGGGAAGTAAGCAGGATGCGTGGGGACCGGGATAACCCCCTCGGGTCCAAGGGGGAGGTGGGAAGCGCAAATCATGAGTCTCAGCAGCAACAGCTAAGGAACCTGGAGAGTGGCCGCCTCACTCCAGTTCGTTCAAGTGAAGGCCGCAAGCCTCTGACTGGATTGCTTAGAATTGGGGGAGCTGATGTGGGGTATTACCATGTGCTGCAGTGTTCCCCTGTCATGATTATTGCCAGTTGCCATCTGATAAACGTAAGTAGAAGGGGTATTTATCCCGAAATCTGTGGCCAGACATGAGAGCTCCTGCTGAGCACGTCTGGTCCGCTTGGCAGTCAGGCTCCGCCCCCTGTAAAGAAAGAGTTATGACTCATTTCTAGAGAACATACATGATAGAGAAATTCTGTTTTCCTACTTTTGTATAATTTACCTATATTAGTATTTTGTTTACTGCTAGAGCCATAAAACAATTGTTTCCATTATAAAGACTGAGGCAGGTATATGGACTTTATTCCTAACACGCCTTAGAAAAGGCTGCTGTCATGCAATCCATGTGTAGGATTATATATGGTTTTGTGGAATTTCTTTTTCTTGGAAGCTTGGCGGAAAAGAGTAAGATGATCTGTTAGAAAGATTAATCTCTGACAATCCTGGATTTCCCTAGATGTTGATTAGGTCTTTATAGAGTATGCTTCACAGTGAAGAAGTCCTGGCTAATATCACACTTATCTATATTTTAATATGGAAGAAACATGTTAATCTCTTACCTTTACTCTGGTAATCTTAGTGTACTCCCAGCGTCACATATCGCCATTTTTTTTTTTTTAAATGAAAGAACTGTAAATACAGGTTCTTATTGTTTGTAAAATATGATTACTAGTAACACTGCTACACATACAATATGGCAGCCAATCAGTAAAATTTAGACAAGGTGAAACTGTATCAATATTCGGGCTTAAAGCTATCCACTCTGTAGGCCTCACTTAACAATGGCACCTGGAGCCTCTTCAATTAGTAAACAGATTTTGCAGAGTTTAACACTACTGATGTGTCTAGAGCACCAGTCTACTGCCTATCCCTCTGCAAAACAGCAAAGGGGGCAGTGATAGGCTGGGAGCATCAACTCATAACTCTCAGCATTTAACTGGCTGTTCATGGCGAGTAAAGGATGAAAATATATGTACATTTTTACTTACAATGGGCAGCCAGTGATGGGAGTGTTACTATTGCCCCTTTGCTGCTCCAGCGAATGCTTATATGTTAGCCTAGCGGTTTCCAAACCAGTCCTCAATGCACACCTACCAGTCCAGGATTTAGAGATTCTCCAGTTTTGCTTTGGTGTTTTTTGGTTTATTTCTAAAAACACCTTAGACACAACTAGATAGTTCCTAAATCCTGGACTAGTAGGCGTGCCTTGAGGACTGGTTTGGAAACCACTGCGTTAGCCTGATCACAGGCAGCAGACCATCGCTGCAACACTTAAAGCTAAAACAGCACCATGGGACTTAAGTAATCATAATTACTTAATTGAGATGATGTAATTATAGTGCCTGGAGTGTTATTTTAAAGAAACACTCCAGCTACCTAAAGCACTTCAGATTAAATAAACCAAATTACTTTAGGTGTAATATTCCTGACTCTGAAGGTTTCCTATATATAATTGTCAATTTCAAGAGAAATTGTCACATATATAAAACTCTCATATCACAAATTGCTGGCTGTCCATAAGGCATCCAGGAGGGTTTCCTGCCTTATTTTTAAAAATTATACTTCAAAGTAGAAGTGAGAGGCTATGCCGATCTTTGCACTTACCATTCATACAATTCTCCTTGATCTGTAATATAGTGATTGGCCCAGTTGCACGCATGCAAATTTGTGTGCAAACCTTCTCAATGGCTAGTTTTCCAGCTAACGTAAGCTAATTCTAGAATGGCAGAGAGGAGGATCAAAGACTATTAAAGTATCATGTGCTGTAAATTGTATTAGCAAACCTGCATTGAGGACAAATGTGATACCTATTAATGAGTGCATTTAATTATTATTGGCCCTCAATAAACTTTTACTGGCTTGCTTGCAAACATTGTATTGAAAAAAAAATTACAAAATTTAGGCCAACATAATTCTCCAACTCAGTTACTACTTCAGCTATGCTATTCTAAATTACAACCGTGCAAGTAACAATTGAAGAAGCCCTACATGGCTAGTCTGGCAACTTGCATCTGTCCTGTACCTTCACACATGTTATCCAGAAACTGTACAAACCACAGATTTTTCTATTGTATAACTACATAACTCTACAAAGAATATCCAGAACACACAGTACCAATTTAAAGACTTAAATGGCTACTCCAAACCTTTTAGAAGACCTAATTTTATTTATATAGAATGCCCTGTTGGAGCACAAGATATTAGGTCCCCTCCTTATAAATCTTCAAAATCAATCATAAACTTATCAGGAATCCAGTGCCGTTTGACATCACTGTGTTCGTTGTGAGGTTTAATCAAATGTTTCTCGTAAAAATAAAAATAAATTTGATTGGACCTTTTTAAACAGCTCAGAGCGCATGCAATAGAGGAAGGGTATGATTTAAAAAAAAAAAAACAACCAGTTATGCTTCCTCTAGCATTTGCACTCCCAGCTTTAACCCCTTAAAGGACCACTATAGTGCCAGGAAAACATACTCATTTTCCTGGCACTATAGTGCCCTGAGGGTGCCCCCACCCTCAGGGTCCCCCTCCCACCCAGCTCTGGAAGGGGGAAAGGGGTAAAAACGTACCTTTTTCCAGCGCTGGGCGGGGAGCTCTCTGCCTCCTCTCCTCCTCCGATCCGCCCCGTTGGCTGAATGCGCACGTGCGGCAAGAGCTTTCAGCCAGTCGCATAGGAAAGCATTATCAATGCTTTCCTATGGAAGCTGGCGTGCTCTCACTGTGAAAATCACAGTGAGAAGCACGCAAGCGCCTCTAGCGGCTGTCAGTGAGACAGCCGCTAGAGGGAATGGGGGAAGGCTTAACCCATTCTGAAACTGCTATGTTTATTAAAAAATGGGTTAACCCTAGCTGGACCTGGCACCCAGACCACTTAATTAAGCTGAAGTTGTCTGGGTGCCTAGAGTGGTCCTTTAAGGACACATGACATGTGTGACATGTCATGATTCCCTTTTATTCCAGAGGTTTGGTCCTTCAGGGGTAAAGTGCTGGCAAGATATTTTTTCTATGCACAGAATTAACATTAGGCAATACCTTTGCACTAAGATATCTTAGAGTTTCAATCCTAAACACTGCACATACAGATTCCTAATTTCCTAAAAGCAGAGGTGGTCATGGAGGCTGGATTAACCCTTTTATGACAGTGTAATATTTAATTCACTAAACTGATGTTGTGGACAAGTCCCAAATAATTGCACATGTTAAGCATCTTAGCTCACATTGAGAAAATGCTAAATATTTATCTTTTATCAGCCAAACACTTGGCAATTCTCCACCCCTCTCATTAAAGCCCTATGTATTTATGCAGATCTGGGTATAATGGCCACACATCTTGTATTGCAGGCCAGGTGTCAACAACCATGTACTGGTTGCTTAACAACCAAAAAAATGGCGTCGCCTTCTCATGGGTCACATGACCATATCTAGCCCTACTCCAGGTTGATTCTACCCTTACCTTGTGCCCCCGCCCTTTGCCGCTCCCTTGCCCAATCACAAAGCAAGCAGGAGAAGCGAGCCGCCGGATGCCGCGCGCCTATTGGAGGGGTGTGATTGTGGGCGGGGTCCCAGGCAGGGGCGGAGTGCCGCTGGAGGTGCAGCGCTCAGTCTCAGGTTGGAAAGGACACAGAGCGGAGCTGTGGAGGTGAGAGCGTGCTGGTGGGAGAGCTGGTGGCCGGGTGTAGCGCGGGCAGGGTGGGTGCGGGAGAACTTGGTCTGTAGCAGGGAGAGGGGCAGACCACCATGCACCTGTCAGGGGGGGGGGGGATTCCATCTTTACTGCTGCTATACCCTGCATTCAATGTATATATCTCATAACATATGTGTGGGGAATATATGTGCGTTCCATCGAGTTCTATGTATCTGTATTACACATTTCACTGTTATTTGTAAATGTAGACTATGCCAATATTTATAGTATACATTTAATGTAGTGTGCTTACCAATACATCATGTTATATGTATCATACCTGTCACCATGTTAAATGCAGATCAATATGTCTGTGTTGCACCTGTCATTGTGTTAGACCTATGGATAAATCTGTATTTATTTCACCAACCACTCTGTTTTATATAGAGAGCAATGTGCATATTTTATATATGTGTTTGTGTGTGTTTTATAAAAAAAATTTTTTTGTGTGTGTGCTATATTAGAAAGGAGGAATATTTGTTACACCTGTCAATGTTTTATATGGTTCAATGTGCGTATGCAAATTTGTTCTTATATTCCCTATAAGGAGAAGTGTACTTTGTAATGGGCTGTATCTCGTTTGAGGGCTATTTGACTGAATTGTCTTGTACCAGACCAGCCTGATAAGACCATTGGGCACGGCTCAGTAATAAATCTGTCTGGAAGGCTCTGGGGTACAACTGGCTCGGTGGCTCGAGAAGGGTACTTAGCCCTCCACATACACGAACTGATCACTTTTTTGTTTTCTGGTTTTCCATTGGGAGCAACTATTGGGGGTGACTGGTCCTTCTTTTCTGAACCCCAAAGTGTTGCTCTCTAAATACACCAGTGAGGAGAACCATTTTAGCAAGCAGCTATTGTCTTTCTTAGCTGGGGGGAGTGAATATCACCAATATTTTAATTGATTTCCGCCTTCCACTGGGAATGAGTGTTGGTTATGTTGTCTCCGTAAGCATGAGTCACTTACTTGGGATCAAACCGTGGCTGGCTTCTGTAGCAGTGGTTCACCCTAGGATAGGTTTATTTGCTTATCTGGTCCCCATGTCCAGCTTTCCTGGATAACACGGAGAATGACCACGTTTCTACTCCTCCTTAGTATATATTAAGTAGTAATGAGTATACTAGAAGTAGGTATAGATCTTGGCTAATGCTTAGTATCCTTCTAACGTGAACCAGAAAAAGTCCACAGTCTCGCTCATTGTATGTGGAATTTGTTTGAGCCGCAGAACCTGGTATTATGGAACTTAGTTTGCTTGTGGGTGCTGGGAGTATGAAGACGTTGGCAAAATGTTAAATTATACTTGGCTATAACGTTGAGTCATTAGATTTATTAAGCTTTCAAAGGTGGATTTGGCAACGTTTCAACACTTTCATGTGTTTGTCAAGCCAGGTGAGATATCCGGCAAACTTCTTGACATTTGTCCTTCGCTTACCTCTCTGTCTTGACTTCATGATACCAAAATAGATATATATATACTCTACTCTAGGTCCATTTCCTACCACATAAGTGCCAAATTTAATCAGATTTCCTAATGGACCTTGTGACCTAAAAGGCTGATCAGAATTGCAGTAAATTCGTTTAGCATATGATGAATATGCCTAGTAAATCTAGGAATCTGGAGCTGGTAAGGATTGCAGAACTTTAGATCTCTCCTCCTAGTTGAGTCATTTCAAATTGATAGTGACCTGAAACCAGTATCTAGGGCAGGCATCCCAATCTCTGTCCCTGAGATGTTTCTGTAGTACAATGTACATGTTCTCTGGCCGTCTATTGCATACATAAGCATTCTGTGAGTTGAAGGCTGTCCACTTCAAGGGTGTGCGGCTGAGTTTGAGATCCCTGCTCTAGGTTTTGAATGTACTATAGAATTGGTTGAAACATTTTTTATGCCCCAGAGCTGCTGTCATTTCTTCTGGACATTTTTTTTGCAGTTGTAGCCTTGTCTGTTAAGCTTCTGAGATGTTCTTTTCTCCAAACCTCTGGATGGCAGTGAGTTTGTGGCTTCTTTGGCTTTACAGAGATATCCCCACTGCCACCAAATTAGAGACTCAGGTATTTTACACTAGCTTGGTAGTACATAATTAAACTGTCTTATTCTAGCGCAGTCTCATGGGACAACAAGGGGGTTTTGTTATATCAGGAATAAGCCTCTCCAGACAGGTGTAATCCCCAATTTTTCAGTAAAAAGGGTACAGTGGCCATTATCTCCACTGACTACTTAGTTTGTTCCAGAGTCTTCAAACTAGAAGTTTGTAAAATCTGATATCAGAATAGAAACATAGTCCATGGTTAAATTAGTGCTTTGCCCAGAGTACTAGATAGTACTTTATTTTAATTATGTGGAAGAATGTGTATGTAAAGATTAGACGTATTATTCTAGTAGACAAGATGTCATGAAAGTGGAAAAACTCTAAAAAGATTGTCTTTTAACCCCTTAAGGACACATGACGTGTGACATGTCATGATTCCCTTTTATTCCAGAAGTTTGGTCCTTAAGGGGTTAAAGGGAAATTATAGTGCCAGAGGTTAATAACCCCTTCTGCCACTTACCTAGGTCCAGCACTTTTGTCCGGCACTGGCTCTGCTCCGCCCTAACTCCTCCCCCTGTCGACGTCAGGCGGCGGAGACCTAATGCGCATGCGCGACAGTGGATTCTCTCTGGGTCCAGCGCCTTTTTCCTTCCGCACTGGCTCTGCTCTGCCCTAGCACCCCTCCCCCCCCCCCGTTGACGTTAGCCGACGGGGCAGACCTAATGTGCATGCGTGGCAATGGCCTCTCTCTGGGTCTAGCGCCTTTTACTGTCTGCACTAGCTCGGCTCTGCCCTAGCTCCTCTGTCCGTCGGCACTGGCTCGGCTCTGCCTTAGCTCCTCACCCCCGTCGACATTAGCCGGTGGGGGAGACCTAATGCACATGTGTGGCAATGGCCTCTCTCGCATTAGGATTTCCCGATAGGAAAGCATTATTCAATGCTTTCCTGTGGGGATTCCGGTGAAGCTGGAAGTCCTCATGCATAGTGTGAGGATGTCCAGCGTAGTTTAGGCAACCAGAAGCCCCTCTAATGGCTGTCTGGTAGACAGCCACAAGGGAAGGAGTTAACCCTAGCAGGTAATTATTGCAGTTTCTAAAAACTGCAATAATAACATGCCTAGGGTTAAGGGAGTGATGAAGTGTTCTGGGTGCCTACAGTGTCCCTTTTAAGTATAATGCTAGTACAATAAAATAAGGTATCATTGCATACTGCAATACTCTGGTATTTTGGCGTCTTATATTCTATAAATGTCTGTTTGACATATTTACATAGAGCGTGACTCAGATTTATCTTACATCTTTTTATTATTTTATACATGGAAAGAAATAGAAATCCTGTCATTCATTTATCTTTACTGCGTGGCTAATATATTATGCCTGTTATCATATTTATTACAATATGAATGGTATTATAATCTTGTCAGTACTGTATCTATAGGAAAATATATTATACCTCACATTTAAAGATACATGTAGAAGAGTGTATGCACACATAGTGAATTTTTGTATATATTATACATACACACACTGTGCATTAACCATTGCTTAGCCGGGTGAAAGCAAATAACTGGAATGTTATGCAATAATTAAGACTTTCAACATCACTTATAGAAAAATATCAGCCATATTGCAGTTACACTATTAATAGCACATACATACAGTAAGTGGCCAGTGGAAAAACAAGTAGAACAGGGAACTCAGAAAACACACAAATGTTTTTAAAAAAAGGATTTCAAACAGACAAATAGATGCACTGAAAATATAGCTGGAAAACCAACAGCAGATTCACTGAGTAATGGTGGAAATCTGAGTATTAGATGTAATTGCTTTTACATCACACTGATAATTTTTTTTTTTTTTTTTTTTCTCACTCTGAATCTGAAGCATAGATAGGTGCTGGCGAGGTCAGGGTTAGGAGAAATTGAGCCTTGTCAGTTGTCTTTGTAAGGCTGTATCGGGTTCCATCGTTTAATAAACTAGGAATGCTGGTATTCCATTCACATTCTGCACTTGTAGAAGATGCCTGCTCTGGAGGAAGGATTTCTGGCATTTCATTGTTTGACAAGATATATATTGGTTAAATGTCTACCGAACATACACATACCTTAAGCTAATTTAGGGAACAGAGAAAAGAGGTGTAAGAAAAAAATGTCAAGTCTCACTATATTCCTCTGACGTGTTCTAATGCATCTATCCTCGCTTTATAATGGACGGTGAGATATTTGCATTTGATTGGACAATATCTACATAGAAACTCACGTTATCCCTTACAGCTAGTATGTCTGTCTCTAAGCATTGAGGTCTTGATAGACCTCAATGCTGTACTCTCACACACACAAGCGAAGAAGCACCTGGAGCAGAAGAGATCTGGTCGGTAGAGGGTGGCAGCGCCTGCAATTGACAAGTTCAGAGTAAGTTAAACTCACCTTTTCCTGCCCCCAGCCACCAGTTCTCCCTCCCTCCCTCCCGCCCCCCACAGTAGCAATGTCACAGAAGGGGTTCTTCGTAAAATGTGTAAAGTGTCCGGACAGTGACAGTTTTTCTTTTAAGAAGAGCTATTATATTGCTATTGGTGGAAGGGAAGTAACTTGCTTTAGAATAGGAAAGTAGTAAAGATACTGTGCCGTACTGGTGGAGCTCTGTTCCTCTGCAGGGCTGCTTCCCCACCTCTGTGCAATACAAAATGTGCAAGAACGGGCATCACTGCAGAATATGCAGATAAAACGATATTTATTGAAGCCACATAGAAACATAGAATGTGATGGCAGATAAGAACCATTCAGCCCATCTAGTCTGCCCAATTTTTAAAAATACTTTCATTAGTCCCTAGCCTTATCTTATAGTTAGGATAGCCTTATGCCTATCCCACGCATGCTTAAACTCCTTTACTGTGTTAACCTTTACCACTTGGAAGGCTATTCCGTGCATTCACTACCCTCTCAGTAAAGTAATACTTCCTGATATTATTTTTAAACCTTTGCCCCTCTAATTTAAGACTGTCCTCTTGTTGTGGTAGTTTTTATTTTTTTAAATAGTCTCCTCCTTTACTGTGTTGATTCCCTTTATGTATTTAAATGTTTCTATCATATCCCCCCATCTAAAGGACCACTATAGGCACCCAGACCACTTCAGCTTAATGAAGTGGTCTGGGTGCTAGGTCCACCTAGGGTTAACCCTTTTTACTGTAAACATAGTAGTTTCACTTTAGGGTTAATCCAGCCTCTAGTGGCTGTCTCATTGACAGCCGCTAGAGGCACTTCTGCGCTTCTCACTGTGATTTTTCACAGTGAGAAGACGCCAGCGTCCATAGGAAAGCATTGAGAATGCTTTCCTATGGACTGGCTGAATGCACGCGCAGCTCTTGCCGCGCATGCACTTTCAGCCAGGGACGTCAGAAGAGGGAGGAGAGTCCCCAGCGCAGAGGGAGCCCGGCGCTGGAAAAAAGGTAAGGGATTAACCCCTTTGTAGCAGAGGAGTAGGGGTTAATCCAAGGGCTCTCCGCTGGGAACAAAGATTCAGCATACAAAATCACAGGAATACAGCATAATCCACCTCCCCAAGGACTAGACGACACATAGTCTGGGAGTCTACTGATAGCTTTAATCACAGGTCTGCTTTTATGCATTTCTCCCATGCAAGGGAGGTAACTTTCATAATTTGTACAGTAACCAATTGTAACCCGGTCACCTCCCCTCACTCTCCTCCCCTTAGATTAGCACTTAAACCACTTAGTGGGGACAGAGTTTTCCCCACTTTCTGGATGTTCCCTAATTACATGGGGTACAGGGACAAATAAGGGGTCCCCTGGTAGGTCTGGTCTAGGTGAGCAACATACTTGAAATACACGCAGATCGGACCAGGGGTTCGGGAGTTACAGCCTGCTAAAGATTTGACCGACCGCAGGGACTCAGTAGCCGAAAACGGTTCCATGCATTCTGGCCCTGCGGTCGGTCTATTTCAGTGAACCACAAATACGGAACGGTTAGCCATCCATATGATTGCTACCATTCGTATGATTCCCCTCCTTTAGGGGAATCTATCTACCGAACGCCGGGGCGTTCGTGTGTTAGCTTCGTATTGTCGGAGCACGCTGGAGGTCTTAGTGGTGCTTGGTTAGTCGAATGCCCTGTTTGAGTTCCAGGTGTTCGACAACCAAGTACCGCTGTTCGTGCGTAAGATGGCCGCCGCCACGTGTTCGGTAGGCGAAATGGCGGCCACACATACAGGTACTTAATTCCCTTCGCAACAATGTATCACTCTGTTAATGGGAAACACACTACCACTCCAGGGTGGTAGTTTCATACATTCGAATAAAAACATTACAATACTATTACAGTCAATTCGTGTGGTAATTCCCTTGGTGAATTACACTTATTCACACTGAATAATTAGTCCAAGTGGCAGGGTTTGCCACACCCTTCCTCTCACTATATAGTGCCAGGTACACGAGTATGGTTTCCTGGCACTATAGTGGTCCTTTAACCTTTTCTGGTAACTTTTATCCTGCAATCCATGAACCAGTTTAGTAGCCATTCTCTGAACTCTCTCTAAAGTATCAATATCCTTCTGAAGATATGGTCTCCAGTACTGCGTACAATACTCCAAGTGAGGTCTCACCAGTGTTCTGTACAATGGCATGAGCACTTCCCTCTTTCTACTGCTAATACCTCTCCATTTTTAACTAAGCATTATGCTAGCATTTCCTGCTGCTCAATTACATTGTCTGCCTACCTTTAAGTCATGCGACTTCAAAAGTGATTTTCAAACTTGGTCAGAGTAGCTTAATAAAGGGCACTGTCACTGCTTCATCTCGTTGAAATGGTTACATTGTCTGGAGTCCCTGGTGCCGTTTTTAAAGAAACACGATTCTGTGACACTATAGGTCTAAATAGATGTTTAGGTCACCGGCCATCCCCTTGCCTCCAGTTAAAAAGGTGATTTACTCCCCTTTTTTCAAGGGCTATGCAGGTTCTGAAAAGTCTGTGTTTACATTAAAAAGCATGCAGGGACAGGCTATAGACGCCAGAAAAACGACATTAAAGGGACACTATAGTCACCTGAACAACTACAGCTTAATGTAGTTATTCAGGTGAGATCTTTAGCTCCCTGCAGGCAATCTAATGTAAACACTGTATTTTCAGTAGGTAGTGCGCTCAGGACTTCATAGGACGTCATAAATACCGCCCTATGAAGTATGTGCGGCGAAGCCGCGCATGCCCACAAGGGAGCAATGACTCTTCCGAATGGAAGCGTCTGATTGCTCCCTGCTCGCGCCCGCCTATTTCGCCATTTTGACGAAATAGGGGGCGCGGCTTCACGAGGCTCCCAGCACTGGAACGAGGTGAGAAAAAAGGGCTACCTGGAGTGTCCCTTTAAGTTGCAGTTGTTCTGGTGATTATAGTGCCTTTAACGTTTTCATGCTCTATCAAAGTCCAGAGCAGCCCAACCCCTCTTGGTCTAATGAGGAAACATTTGTTTGATCACCAATGGGTGGTGCTTCCATTGCTCTATAGATAGAAGGAAGCGTTTAATCTCCACTTTAGACATATCTCCAGTGCGGGCTGGCCTGTTGGAGAACAGGGACCCTCATTCAGCATTAAGCTTCTCAAAAATGGTTCAACACTGAATAGAAAGTCAGTGCCAGGGGACTTCAAGTACTATAATACATGAAATGGTTATAGTGCCTACAGTGTCCCTTTAAATTTGAAATTCAGTTTGTGTTTTTACTTTAGTAAATAAACCGTACTGTAAGGCGGGGGAGGCCAAGATATCATTGCAGAAAGATGCTCCCAAATTTGTTTTGCAAATGGGGAAATATATTTGTAATTTTGTAAAAATATTTTGTATATTTTATAGTTTTATTGTGTACACTGGGGGTGGTAATAATTAGCTGATAGACATGAGGTGAAGAAGAGATTTCTATTTAAATTAGATCACAATCTAATTGTTATTAGTAGACACCACCATTAGTATACACCAGTCAGTACATTATGGAGATATGTGTTTGTGTTATTACATGTGGAAAGTAAATTATCATACCACCTCTATTAAAAAAAAAAGTTCATGCATGGTATATGATGAGATGTGCATATATTACATTTCAAGAGATGTCTGTATTACGCCTGAGAGTATATCATGTTTTAGAATCTTTATAGATGGTGTTTGGTTGAGAAAACCTTGTATTAAGGGTCACAGAATGTTAGTTGGATTTGGAGGTTGTGAATAGTAGAATTAGAACGTACTATGAGATTTTTGTACAGTGTAATACCAGCTGCACTAATCCTTGCTTGGAACGCTAGACTTCAAGTTAATATTACTGGATATTTGGCGATCATTCTAGGTATATAAAGTGTTAACCTCTGTAAATGGGGTTTTTATTTAAAGGTATAATATTGAGTGATATGCTATTTTTTTTTAATTGTTTTATTTTTTTATTTAACACACACAAAACTTATGTTCCAAAATCGGCAAGGAGTTGTTCATGTAGTTCGGTGGGGAGTACTGCATTGGCACTAGTTAAAGCCAGTCTGGCGATTGTGGGGCAGTATTGGCTCTTAGTTGGCATGTTTGGTTGGTATGCAAGCTTCTTGTTGCAGAATTTAAAGTACTCCATGGATGGGTTACATCTGGCTAACTGGTAGCTATCTAAAATCTCTACAGTGTGCTGGTCTGTTATGGCTGCAGATATCATCCATGCAGCCCCTCTTAATTTAATGGTGTTTCAGACATCAGGGAGGTTTTGGATCTTTCATGGTACACTGACCAATTCTCTTTTCTGAGTCTGAATTTCCACTTGCCCATGGTTAGTGGACAAGTAGACATTTTGAGTTTTTATTTTATAGTCTGAGAAATATTCAAATTGGAATCCTGCTGAAGAAATAGTTTTGTGATGGGTCATTCTTCACTTACTGAATGTTTGTGAGGGTGTCTGTATTGGGTTTGGGTGTACATCTATTAAATCTATTTACACATACGTTCTTGCTGACTAAAATCTAGTATTTCATCTTGGGTAGTTGTTATGAATGTTTAATAACTATAATTTTGGTCATTCTTTTTACACACTCTTAACCCATTAATGACAAATATTGGTCTATGTCATTATAACAGTTTTTTATAGATCCTTTTTGAAAATGGAATGTCCCAGTCAACAATTTCAGGACTTTAGGAAGGTGTCAAAACTAAATAAGCAGGCAATTATTGCTGACAAAGGGTCTTTATGAGCCATGTTAGGCTGGCAACAAAGTGTAACATTTGGTATAAGAGGTTGCCATGTATTTTAAAAAAATTGAGATGCTGTACTGTACTAGGTAAAATTCAACTTTTCACCAAAATAACTTAAAAAAAATAAATACTACTTTTAATACCTCTTTCCCAATGGTTCCAGTAGCACCACAAGCCTGCCTTTCGAAGTGTGAATGTTTTCCTTAGTCCTGCATGGCACTGGAAATCCTGGGATCCGACTCCAGACACAGCCCCACCTGATCACTTCATTGTCAGCACATCAGCCCATTGGACGGAGTGACGTCTGTTCCATTTTCCTGTCAAGTGCTGGCATGGGTGGCAAGGGCAGGGCCATGTATGCAAGGGTCTTAGTACAAAAATGGTGACGCGTGTGGATTGCATGCGTGCTTTAATAAAATGAAGCTGGGCCACTGAACAGTAGGTAGACGTGCCAACTGTTATAGAGTCTATGCCGATTGTGTGTCTGCCAGGAGGTGGCTGTTTTTTGTAATTATCTTTCTTTTTTTTTCATTTTATTTTTTATACTGAATTTCTGTATGAAATCTATACATCTGCTAGTAATATTTCATAAGGAATCTATTTCCAAACATAAGTATGCTTTAACACTCTACATAGGCTTCTCCTAGAATCATTTTTGAAGAGCAATAGAAACAAAATATTTTCCTGTTTTGCAGCGGTAAAAGGAGTCATAAAGCCTGCTATGGAAGATTCCATACAGAACTGATATTCCATAGTAATAACCTTTAAAACATAGAGAGGATATGGACTAGAGATGGTGACCTAGTGTGATGTAAGCTATAAAGAAATGAATAGAGGATGCTGCCCATAGATAGTGCCACATTGCTGTATTTAAATGTAAACGATGAGCAGAGGATATAGATCAGGGAGGGATAGTGATGTTTTTCAATGTTGGCTGTACAGAAACACGCAGAGGATATAACGAGAGATAGAGGACTATTGTTATGTTCAAGCTGTTATTGTGGACATTCTACAATTATGGCTGTCAGTGCCCCAGATAATAAACGGTTTATAAGCCAAACATTGAGCACACAGCACTTCTACAAACAAATCCTCCCTGTGACTAGTTTCGCGGAAACAAACTTTAAAGTACATGAACTAATATTGTTTCGCAAACATATCACTTCTTATCCCACATGGCCAGTTCCAATTGTCCGTTATCCTGTGCACTACTCGCATTTGTGCTGATAGGGTTAATTCTCCCAGCTTCCCTGGGGTATTTGTCCATACAGTGAAACTTGTAGCTGTGTAAGTGAAACTAGCCCATCCCAGGTCACTGGATTCATTGTGTCACCAATCTATATACACACAGGAAGTGGACTGGCTCCCTGCAGGGGGTAGAAACCTCTTACTTGCCAGTGGTGCTTTGCATAGTACTTGCAGTAAAAGACCACATACATGGCACAGTGTTTAGGACAGTTTAACTACATAATTTCAGGTTATAATCTGTAGAATTAGCTATCCACCCAAGATCTGAATCCATAAAGATTCCTCTTGGAGCAGTCATCCAATAACATGCACCATGGCTATATATAGGGCAGGTTAGCGTGATGCTTGGTTGATGTGGTGCTTTCATCCCCGGCAAATTACTTGTTACGTTTTCCACATTCATATACTTAATTCTGTCTCATGGGATAATGTGATACAAATTGCATCCTTCATAGATTAGCAAGTTGTTTTTTTCACCAGACCTGTTAGTCTTGTTTGAATTACCTTAATGCGCCAACATTATATTACTAAGGTGTTCGTATCTTCGTGTAATATGCCCAGGTGAAATGTTGACAGTGAATTTAGCCGAACGTTTAAAATGAACCGTATGTTTCAATATACCTGTATAGCAGAGCTTAAAATGTGAAGTACTATGCTACTAGCCAGGCCTTAACGGACACCTGTCTCCTCATAACAAATTTTAAATCTAATAACCCTTTCTTCAAGTATTGAAATGGAAATTCTTTTATTTTTCTTAAGCGGTGTATATGTAGAAATAAAAAAATGACAAAACTCCATCTCTACCTTTGTTATATGACAAGATCCTACCACCATGTGCATGCACCCTGGGTCAGACAGTGATTGAGTCTCTTTGGTCTTCCCTGTCTCTGTGTTGGGAGTGAAGCAGACAAACACTTTCTGACCCAAGGTGCATGTACATAGCTGAAAGATCATGTACTAAAGGTAGGGATTGCTTTTTATATTAAATTATTTTCAGGTGACCGTTGTCCCTTTTAAATGTTACGCAGCAAGGCATAGCATATGCATAACTAAATTTTCTTTGCTGGTAGTGAGTGAACCCTGGTCTTAGTGATGGTGTTCTGCAGAATTCTGGTTTAGTATATTTTTATTCCATTTGAACATTGGGTTATTAAGCTAATAGTGCAGCTGAAAAGGGAGTCCTAGGCTAATGCCATGTACATAACCTCACTCAATAGAGGTTAAGAACTACTGCACGATATGGTATACCAGTTACATGACTTATCTGACTTATACAAGTTACACTCCCACTGAGTCAAATATCCTAAGCTATAGTAAATCTATTTATACACCCTCAAGAGATGCAGTTCTGCCATCTTGTGTACTTCCTCTGCCACTTCCAACCCAATCTGACATGTATTAAGACAACACATAACGTCATTCCTTTTATTGATTGACATGCCAAAGAGCAAAACTGTCCAGAACTCGGCGTCATTTCATTTGCATGAAGCATCCTTACATTGGTAGAGATAATGACAATGCAATTGTGCATGCGTTACTTCCCACATTTCTTCTATTGATGCAGATTGGAACACCTGTGGACAGTCTATATATACCATGACACTCCTAGCTATTGATGCTCTTTCATGGTCTTTCACTCAGTGGTGTGTGATGGCAATTTATTTAGACCTACGGCTAACTTTGAATATTCCAATATCATGTCTCCTCTGCCTAGGTTTGCGTTTTCATAATTCTGCATTTGTAAATTTATACTTCCTTTCATTCTATGATCCGGTTACTGGCTTGTCTTATGTTTCAGTTTTAACTTGATTGGGGCGCTCCTAACTTCATCTAAATGTAAGTAAAACTTCTCCTTTTTAATTAGCGGAGGGTCTCGTTCACCTTGTACAGAGCTGCTGAAAATATTGGCACTTTATAAATAATCTTTAGCAAGTGTTTTTTTATTTTTTTTTTAATATAGTAGCATTTTTTGCTACTTAAAAGGACATGTAGTATGCTTTTCTGTCCCTTTTATTTCTTACACGTAATTGGAACAGGCACAACTAGAATACTTGATGCACCACTGTGCAGATAAAGTATATTGAAGGACATAAATAAGCACCAACATTTTGGGTCAGAAACCCTTTACCAATGCCCTTTAATGTGACACTGTCCCCATCCCCCGGCAAAATTAGTATTTCATAAAGCTAGAATCTTTATAAAATATTTGTATTGACTGTGTTGGAATTTTCACTGAGGGACTACTTTGTCTCAGTATTTTTCCCCAGTCACTGCTTGACACTAGGTTGAGCCAACACTGTCAAGCCGTGTAATTTCCCCCCAGCCATCTCCAGTGGCGGTTGCAGGGCAATGAGCTCTTTCTATGGGGATCACGTGGTCTTGTGGAACCCTCCACAGGCCTCAATGTTAGTACAGCAGTGACTTTGGCTCCTGGCAGCTGAAGCACCAGAAGCGCTACAGGAAGAGGATGGTGGCGCCCCCGAGACAAGTTCAGGTAAGTAAAGCTCACCTTTGCCTGCGCTCCCCCTAGAGTGATAAACCATAGTAATAGTTTATGTACTTAAAGTATGATAAACCCAGATGCTGCTGAAAAGCAGAAAGTGAGAGTTAAAATGGTGCAGGTTGTAAATTCACTGCTCTGACAGAGGAATGGTAATTTGACACAGATGGGCCTCATTTCACATGCCGCTAGGATGCCATTGATTTAACAGAGCCAGTCAACAAGTAGCTTTAGGTCTGTGAACTATAATTCTCATGACCTTCAGCCTGCCTAAACCTAAACAATCTTTCACTTGGCACTATAGGAATGTACTACCAAATCATCCCCCACCGCTTCCCCAAGCTCAGCAGCCCTTACTTTCCACTATTGAACCCAGATCCACAGGAGAGCTGTGTAACCAAATACAAACTCAATTTCTAACACTGAGAAATCCCTGGCAGGAAGGTCCATCCATGTTTCTTACCCGGTGTCTGTATGCCAGAGGGCTCTAGCAACAAATTAATAATTTGTCTTGTATGTCCATTCACCAAATTGCAGGTAGTATACACAAAGCTCACAATTTCTAGTAGTCATGGGTGAGTGAAAATTTTTGTCCTGGCGAGTAGAAATCCACCCACGACGTTAGTCACAGACTCTCCTGGCTTGCCATGGCAAGTGACTCTAAAAGCTTGGCGGCTAAATAGTATATAACTTGGGAAGTCCTTGTTTATGATTCTATTACTGCTGGGAGAATATGAGCAGATGATACTTTGTAATAGAATGTTCCGGTATTTATCGAGTCTGGCCAGTAATGTGTAATACTGGCAGGACGATGAATAAACATTTTAAAATGCAAACTTTATTGGCATAAATCCCAGAATTGTGTAGCTCTCTGTGAACGTTTCAGTCTGACTCAGTTCTACGTGGTCTTGCCCACTTCTCAATTTCAGGTGAAATGGTGTGTAGTTTGTGGATTGAATGGGAGCCACATTCCTCTTGCCACACCCCAGAGACTGAAAGTTCGCATTACTTACTGACAACATGACATTACTCATTCTGTCGCAAAATGAAATGCCACTAGATTGTGAGCTCTGCAGTATAGTGACTTTATAAAATAAGAGTGTCATTCTGTACGTGCATTTATATATAATTCTGATTAATCTGCTATTGTAAAAATGCACCTCCCATGACACATTTACTGCCCAGCTTGTCATTTTACATTTCAGACAGATAAGCTCACAGCTCAAGGTTAATTGCATGTTCCCACAGCCGCGGTTTATTAATCATATGGAACCTGGCTGAGTTTTTGCTGTGAAAGGGTTAATTGCACCTAGCTCAGCCTTTCCTCCACAAGAATTGCCAAGTTTGACATATCTGACCCAGGTTAGTTATTGCATTCGTACAGTCTAAGGCGACTTGGGGTATTATCTACACGGTGCACTTGTTTTTTTCCTACAGGTGGAAAAGCTTGAATGTGCACCTTCCCACCCCCCAACCTAGGCGTCAGAGTGCTGGCTGGGGAGGGGCATAGGCCTGGGGTTTTATCAGGTATACGGCAACAGAATGCCAGAATTCCAGCTTGATTAAATATTGGGTGAGTCACAGAACTGCTTCCCAAAACCAGCAGGAAAACAAGTCAAGCTTTTCTGTTGGGGGCAAAAATCCACTCTCAGTAAAAGCTCTCTCCCCCTGCCGGTTGGCTATTTCTTATCTTGTTTTTATTCCCTTTTGCTACCTGTGCTGGGAAGCCATTCCAGTAATCTACTACTCTATATTGAAAAGAATACTGTAATAAAATTCCATATTCTCCTAAGATTTCAACTCTCTCGGTTTGCTACAAAAGAATATTTAAACTCACATATTTGCATCACGTGCATTGTATTTAATTTTCTTATTGAGTTTTTTTGAGAGATTTGTGATTACAGGTTCTGCCTCTTGCGCTGAGATGGTAATATTTACCAGCATTCTCTGGGCTGATTCTTCCTGATTTGCTGTCCATTCTTCACTTTATAGAGTATGAAATGCCCAGAGGACAATGATGGTTAAGGTTGGCACTGGGGATAGCTGTGAAATATCTTCACTGGTCACAAATTATGGCTGAACATTAATGGAAATGTAGCCTCTAAGCATATTGTGTGTTATGATCAGCTGCCATGGCCTTAGGATAACGAGTTCCACTTAATGTAAGTTGAAGTAATCACATAACGATTATGGAAAAAAATATTGCATTATTTCCATATATTATGTACCTATAACATTTTCACATATGCACAGCATGTGATAAATCCTGCCATGGTATTTTTTTTTATTTTTTTTTTGAGGCATATGCATGACATGAACATGAGGCAGTATGGTATTTGACATAAGGTAATTGTGAAAAACATATGATCATACGGAGAAGTCATAACTAATTTTATTATAGTGAGTGGCAGTTGAATGAGACGGACAGAACAGAGTACATTATGCAGTGCCAAGCGTCTTGTCTAGATGATAAGATATGTGTTCTGCGATATGTCTACTCATGGAAGAAAGCAGTACCCCTAACCTGAAACATATTATGGTGGACTGCACTGGTATTATGCAAAAAGATAAGTACATGCTAATTGATAATAGGCAGAAACCTGTGTCGATAGAATGGGGCAATAAAAATTGATATACTGAAAATAAAAATAGACAATAGACCGAGCATTTAGCTATGATGGTTGAAACTGAGTAAAAGGATCGGCTTGTAAATAGCTTCAGCTTTTCATTTGCTTTGCAATACCACGGAGTATACAAACAAGGAGCCCAGCTTATCGAAAGAAAGTATTTTGTCCCCAACATAGTATAAGGCTCTAATAAATCCAACAATTAAAACCGTGAGCAGACATAAAATGAGAACCAGTGAGAGCCGCTTATCACACTGCCCAAAATCTGGCACACATTTCTTCAAAGTTCTCAATAACATTAGGTGGCTGTCTAGAGGGTCGCTGCAATTTAGGATTGGTCGCCATGTTACCCATAAACCTTGTGGCTAATGTAGTTGAGGCCTTCATGGATGTACAGGTACACAATACCAGTGAGGACCAAGATAACCTCCACCGGCACAGAGTTGGGGAGAAAAGAGGCTGTTTGTGAGATCGGAGAATTGGCCACTTGCTCCGGCTAGCAGGCCACTGACGGGTAAGTATGCCACCAAACAGAGTATTCCAAAAGGGACTAAGTCTGATTCAGAGCAGTGTGTTCCAACTTGAGTAGAGGATGAGGATTTCTCAACTCTGCGCCTTAGATCGCTATAAATCAGTGTGAGTATAGCTTTCTGTTGAAGAGCTCCAAACTGCATCAAGTTCTTTTGGCTGCCAAGCACCCCATCCCCCCCTCCCCCCCAGCATATTTCTAATGCCATCGCTTTCTGTGCAGTGTTTGCACATGGTTCTGTGGTATATGGGCTGCTGCAATTCTCGTGTTGTGATAATGGTGTTCTGCATCTGGAATATAGTCTCTGCATTCTCTACATGCCCCTGGTATTCTGGAAATGCTTTCGAGCTTTGTAAACCCCCCTGCGTTTTCACTACAAATATCCATTATCACCTCTACTCCATACAGACCAAATTCCTCTGTGCAAGGCAGATAAGCACCCAGATTAATTGCCGCTCCTGTCCTTGGAAGGAAAGTCAATGCTAGGAGATTCTTGTCCTAAGCTGCTAGAAATGAGTATTCAAACACATGAATTCACTCTATAGATGTCGAGGAAACAAATCCACCTAAAGTCAGATCACAGACAGGAAAATCTACAAAGAGGTATTGGGTATTTTAGCAGACTGAGACCAATTTGTATGAATAGAATGTGTAGTTTATATTCCTATCCGCTCAGTCTGTGGATGGAAACAGGGAAATGTTCTCTGATTTATTAAAGATTGATAGCTCTTGTGTATCCACTGGCCAAGTAGGATTATACACTAAATGGAGAGTTGTCAGTCATTGACCAGGGGATTTTACAGATTGGGTAAAATTAACGGCCTGAAACTTTATATTCCTGTGTCCGTCCCAGTTGTTTGGGAAATAACCCTGATTGTATCTAATCAGTCTAGACGTGTATGGTAGAGAGGGGTTAGTATGAAGCCAAACCTATTTGGTGTTATGTACTTAAAATGTTTTTCTCTTAACATCTTTATTAAATCTTTACTTTTTATTAAAGTCGAAAGCAAACGCTTTATATTGTACCTGTTAATGAAGGCTAAATATATGGTAACACTTTATTGAGAATATCTCTACATTGTGCATGTACACTGCTATTCTATTCCAAGTCCATTTTAATGTATTTGGTCACTGGAACAGTGGTAAAATGTGTATTTGGAATCCAAAGTTGTCCACTGTCTTCTATACCCATTCCTAAATGACAAGTATGGTATTCTATAATCCTTAACGTATAGCCCCTTGCTAGACATGGATATGTTATTTGTTCCATAATGGGCATTGGCAGTTGCTCATGCAGTATTCTCATCTGTTTGACACCGTCTTGGAGGGAGGGAACAATTGAGATGATATTCAGATATCATGTACATTTGCTGTAAATTTTGCTCGTCCAGTGTATATGAAAGCTTATCTCGACAATGGGCTTGTAAGTTGCATGTTTTGGGGATATTGGATCCACATGAAACATCACTTCTCATAACATTATTTCTGCAGTCAGACACGGTACAGCATTACAGAGTATGTTAGCACTATCTGTCTTTGCTGCATTTATTGGCAAATGATTTCTGATCTGGTACTTTGCCCTGTTACTGTCAGCCAGTGCAGGGCTGTGCTGTATGTAGTGTCGCAGCCAGATCACAAAACGTAAAACATGAACAGACTTTCCTTTGATATATCTTGTTTTTATTTGGCAACATTTTGCTGGAATAATCACTGATGACAAATCTTTCTCCTTGTTCCTTTTGGCAGTCTCTCTGCTCAAAGGTGTGGGGGGAGGGAATTACTCCAGTTTATTTCTAGGTTGACCATGTTGCGACATTGTTAGAATCTTTGAATTTATAGTCATTATTTTTTTTTAATTTAAACTTTATCATTGCAGTGACATACTGCAACATATCAGCAATGTAAGGCTAGCGCAGAAGCTACTTCACGGTGCACACAAAGTTGCGAATATGATACAGAAAGAAAAGAGTATGTAGTAAATACATGCAGTGCTTTTTACGATGGTGGCTTGCTTGTTCAGTCTGTCAAAGTTTTTTTTAATATTTTATATGAATAACCAATAATAAACAATAAACTGGCTCTGCGATGCCGGTGGGGTTGTGTCCCCACTTTTGTGTAAGCAAAACAGGCATGGTTGGCACGGCGGTCGCCATATCCCTTCCACTATTCCAAATGTATTATTCCTTGTACTGTTTTCATCGCTTCCCATACTTTGGTAAAAGTTGCGGTGGTATTGCACACTTGTGCTGTTAACTTATTCATCAAGAAGCTAACCCTGCTTTTTGCGATTACCATGGATGTATGTGGTAACTCGGGACAATGCCCTTCGTAATGCTAGATAAATCATGTTTAAGAATTTTTATATAGTCTTTATTTGTAAGTAATAAAACTTCATTTTGACATCACAGTTGCTCTTGAAAGGGCACAGAGAAAAATTTTATGTACATTTTTAATTTTATTTCCCAGTGATCCTTTGGTGCAACGTCACTTTTGTTAGTGTACATTTTCCTTTATTTTCCCCTCATTTTGCTAAATCATAATTTGACACTCTTCCCTGGAATTTGGGAGCCAATGACAAAATAGTTAAGCAGAACATATGTTGAAATAGCCATATTCCCACAAATTCACATGTTTGGGATCAACATGTGGTCTCTCGGAGATTTGGGATGTCATTTTGGCCAAATGCTTTCCTGAAGTATACAGTAAGCCATATGCCTTCCATTACCATTGTAAAGTCATCCTTTTTATATAATGCACAGCATGTTTAATAGCATTGAGTGAGTGTTGCCCGGGTCCAGATAAAAAAAATACGATTGTCAGCTGTCTCTGAATAGTCTCTTGACTTGTATGAAACATGTGGCTGCTTTGGGATTGCTGGTTCTCCATTTGTATATTAGAGCACCAGTGTGTTATTGTAGTAATAATGTTATTGTTTGTTTAATAATATTTCCTGTCATTTTTGTTGTTGTACGTGTTGTATGTCTATTCCTCTAGAATGTCGATTAGTGTTCTAGTATCCTTTTTTTAAATCCCTCTATCAACCCATGTATGCGCAGGTGCTGCCTCTTTCTCCTCTATTCTAATCAGCCTGTGACTGGATGTTTGTAGGAGACAGTCGGTCCTTTTTGTTCAGGGAACATAGCTTGCCTGTCTTTGGAAATGCATTTTGTGAAGTGATGAGTGCACCTGGGGTTAGAGGGACAGAGTACCCCTGTGTTTGAATGAAGAAGTCATCTCTGTGTCCGTGGTGATAATTAATTGATGACCATAATAATAAAAAAAGTTCCTTTCTATTTAGGCTCGTTTCAATATGAACAGGTAAATACTGCCATTGCCACCATCCAAGATGGTAGATTAGTCATCCTTTCTGTAATAAAAAAAAAAAAAAACCCTAGGCATGCATCTAGAATTCTAACATATCTTTCAAAATATACATAGAGTATAATGAGCCCAAGTATATACCAGCCTTTCTGCTCTTATCTGAAATAATACAGAGTAATGATATACACACCTTCCTGTCCTACCTTCTTAAAATAATGGTACACAGTATTACAGATAAATTATGTAATGCTGAATATAATTACCCCAGGTTTATTCCTGCCATCTGAAGTACTACGGAGTAATGTTACCCTAGTAATGTTCTACTGCCATCTGAAACAATAAGCAATGTTGCCCCACGTGTGCTCGGAGGTGTGGCATTGCTGTGTGGCCAGGGCCGTCTTTAATATTGATTGGACCCTGGGCAAAGCATTTGCTTGGGCCCCTGGAACCTGTCCCCCCTCACCAGGCGTGCAATCACGTCCTCCACCCTAACCAAGTGGCAGACCTAAAGTAGAGAGGTGCACGGGTGATTAGAAGGTAGATCCCCATCTGTCGTGCAACTCCAGCAATGCACTGACAGCTGGGGCTCTTCCATTTACCCATGTTTGAAGGTTTGTATTTAGCACTAAGCTGTTGTGTGTTTGAATGTGTGTTTTTGTATGGAATATGTTTGTATGTGGTGTTGGCGTACGTGCAAGCATGTATTTATGTGTAGTGTTGGTTTTTGAATGCAGGGGTGTGTTTACATATAATTATGGTGTGTAACTCAGACATGTGTTTTGGAGTTTGAATGCCAGTGTGTATTTGTATGTGATGTTAGTGTGTGAATGCTGAGATGTATGCACATATACACACACACATATATATCGATATATATATCGAGATATATATATATATATATATATATATATATATATATATATATATATATATATATATATATATATATATATATATATATATATATATTTATTTATGGCACACACAGACAGACATACTGGTACACAGACATACTGACACACACACAGTCAGACCTACTGACAGACAGGGACCTACTGACAGACACACACAGACATACTACACACACACAGACCTACTGACAGACACACATACACACACAGACCTACTGACAGACACACACACATAGACCTACTGACAGACACACAGACCTACTGACAGACTGACAGACATACTGACACACACCCACACAGACATACTGACACACACCCACACAGACATACTGACACACACCCAGACAGACATACTGACACACACCCACACAGACATACTGACACACACCCACACAGACATACTGACACACACCCACACAGACATACTGACACACACCCACACAGACATACTGACACACACCCACACAGACATACTGACACACACCCACACAGACATACTGACACACACCCAGACAGACATACTGACACACACCCACACAGACATACTGACACACACCCACACAGACATACTGACACACACCCACACAGACATACTGACACACACCCACACAGACATACTGACACACACCCACACAGACATACTGACACACACCCACACAGACATACTGACACACACCCACACAGACATACTACTGACACACACCCAGACAGACATACTGACACACACCCAGACAGACATACTGACACACACCCAGACAGACATACTGACACACACCCAGACAGACATACTGACACACACCCAGACAGACATACTGACACACACCCAGACAGACATACTGACACACACCCAGACAGACATACTGACACACACCCAGACAGACATACTGACACACACCCAGACAGACATACTGACACACACCCAGACAGACATACTGACACACACCCAGACAGACATAGTGGCACACACCCAGACAGACCACACACCCAGACAGACATAGTGGCACACACCCAGACAGACATAGTGGCACACACCCAGACAGACAGACACACCCAGACAGACATACTACACGGGTGACACACACACAGATAGTGGCACACACCCAGACATAGTGGCACACACCCAGACAGACATGACACACCCAGACAGACATACTGACACACACCCAGACAGACATACTGACACACACCCAGACAGACATACTGACACACACCCAGACAGACATAGTGACACACACCCAGACAGACATAGTGACACACACCCAGACAGACATAGTGACACACACCCAGACAGACATAGTGACACACACCCAGACAGACATAGTGGCACACACCCAGACAGACATAGTGGCACACACCCAGACAGACATAGTGGCACACACCCAGACAGACATAGTGGCACACACCCAGACAGACATAGTGGCACACACCCAGACAGACATAGTGGCACACACCCAGACAGACATAGTGGCACCCAGACAGACATAGTGGCACCCAGACAGACATAGTGGCACCCAGACAGACAGACATAGTGGCACACACCCAGACAGACATAGTGGCACACAGACAGACAGACATGGTGGCACACAGACAGACAGACATGGTGGCACACAGACAGACAGACATGGTGGCACACAGACAGACAGACATGGTGGCACACAGACAGACAGACAGACATGGTGGCACACAGACATGGTGGCAGACAGACATGGTGGCAGACAGACATGGTGGCACACAGACATGGTGGCACACAGACATGGTGGCACACAGACATGGTGGCACACAGACATGGTGGCACACAGACATGGTGGCACACAGACATGGTGGCACACAGACATGGTGGCACACAGACATGGTGGCACACAGACATGGTGGCACACAGACATGGTGGCACACAGACATGGTGGCACCCACCCAGACAGACATGGTGGCACCCACACACACAGAGTGGCGCCCACACAGACATGGTGGCACACACACACACAGACATGGTGGCACACACACACACAGACAGAGTGGCGCCCAGACAGACATGGTGGCACACACACACACAGACATGGTGGCACACACACACACAGACAGAGTGGCGCCCAGACAGACATGGTGGCACACACACACACAGACAGAGTGGCGCACACACTGGCACACAGACATACTGGCACACAGACATACTGAAATACACCTATGCAAACTTTAAAGCCCCCCTCCAGTTTCCTACCTTCCCTGGGGTCCAGTGTGCTGGCTTGGTTGGTTGGGAGTTGGGGACTTGGTCTCTTTGCTCAGTCCGCCTCCTCACTGCGTCCTGGCACAGGCTCCCTCCCGCGCGGCTCATCATCTCTGAGGGAGGTAGTGACTTGCGGACGTCACTTCCTCCCAGTGCTGCTGTAAAGCAAGGGGCCCGGTCGTGCTGTTAAAGGGTCACAGCACCCGACCGGGCCCCTGCTGAAACGTGCTCAACGGGTGGCCCTAAATGTATTGGCCACCCGGTGAGCCTCCTTAGAGTATGGGCCCCGGTGCAGCCGCAGTACCAGCACCGCAGGCCCATGGGTCCTTTCGTGTACTAGCTAGTAACAGAGTAAATTATCTGTTTGTTGTTCTGTTAAGTGATTTAAGTTGGTGAAGTGCTTTGTCTGTTTATAGTTTGGGGTAACTGCATTTGATTTGGGAGACGTCTTTTCAGACTATGGGTTTGGGGAAAAACTGGTGTAGGTCAGAGACCTACACCTGCAGGTGTTTTAGATCCCTGTTATTTGACAGGTAGATTTAAACCAACTTGCCATATTGTATTCTCAAGGCCAGCTGGGCCTAATACACAGGTGCTGCAGATTTACATGTTCTATTTTGCTCACATTTAGAGATTTAAAAGACTTGAATAGGAATTTGTTCCTTGATAGCATGTGAAGTGTTGTGAGCGGTGACACACCTTTCTCACACGTCATTGTCACTTAAGTGTCGTGACCACAAATACCTAACATTGTAACACTGCTTTAGTGACTCTGAATATTGCTCTCTACATTTACAATCTGTGTCTATCAGGTGTGATTGGGAAATCAATGTGTCTGGCTTTACACAAAAACAAGCCATTAGAATAACAGGGGGAGAGGTCACTTGGGATTTATACTTTCTTATTTTTATTTATTTCAGTGAGAATGTGGGATGGATTTTATGTTAATTTATTTGATTTTTGCAGCAGTCCCTCTACAAATTGTAATCACTTGCTCCATTCCCTGCACCTGTTTTCAATGTTTGAGTAACAAGGTTAAATATCCGTTAAATCTGTTTTCCCAGAAGAGATATTACCGTAACTGCAACATATGAGGAGGTTGGGAATTCCAGAATTAAGGTTGAAGGAGGTGATTACAGCAAAGAGGAGTGGAGTATAATAGCAGAAAAGATGAGATGGGAGACTGTAGGACAGCAGGGGCAATAGGTCTGGTAGGAGGAATGAAGGTGGAAGATGATGAGCCTGGTCTGACAGAGTAAATACAGCTAGGGAAGTTGGTGGAGGTTATGGTGGAATACATGTGGTCAGGGAGAGTTACAGTGGACAAGTTGCGGTACATTATTTGTTAGAATGAGTAATGATGGTTACCCACAAGCCATCTAGTCACTGAAGTAGGACATAGTTGGCAGTAGTAAGATCGCATTCACTTGGCAAAAGCGAGTTTTAAAGGGCTCTGCTTCTTATAAATTGCTTTTTGGCCATTTCACATTATTAATCTGACTCTTTCGAGTGGTGTACAATAACTGTATGGGAAGGAGAAAATTAAAGCTTGTTCTGCGTTAACGCTCCAACTATTTCTAATTCTCTTGACTGCTATAGCAAGGGACGTAATATATAGCCAGAGATCTAATATACTGGCATTACTTCTTGGGTTAATAGCTGGTACATCAACCGTGATCCTACTTCTCTCTGGGAATCCCTCTCTGCTTATATTTGATTGTTTTCTCCCAGCTGCCCGTTTTGTTACCATGCTAGTTTTCTGCCACTACCTCGTTTGTACTACACAACTGTCAAACCTCTGATGACTTTCTCCCAGATTCTCCGCACTGTGCTTCTGCCCAGTCTGATATGTTTCCGTTGGGTGATGTGTTAACCCTGTAAAACGTAAGGGCTGCTTCTGAGAGCAGCGGTTGTGTTTATAGCAGATCTGCGTCTAACCTCAAGCTGTATCCTTAATTCAAATTAACCACAGAATTGCATCTGGTTTGGCAGTGGAGCGTGTTTACTGTTTGTTTCAATACAAAGATTAATACTTTTAGGTACTTATCCAAATGGAGCCATACCTTCCCAGAAAGAGTCCAATCTATTGGCAGAATAATCCTGCAATTACAGAAGATTTAGCCTTGGCTTTATTGCCTGATGTTGGGTTACACACTGTCTGGGGAGAAACATCTCATTATAGATCTGTGTCCCCGTTTAGTCTGTGCTCCTATTCTTAATTACCCTTCTGACATCCAAGATAGTCCTTCATAACATGGCAGCTCAGCAGAGATAGCAGGAAAATAACAGTACGAGAAATGCCAAACTCAATCTTGAAAAGATTGAGATATTACTGCAGAGTAGAGTGATGACAGTGTGGTCTTACCTGCGGTCACAGTCTTGTGTGTCTAATCAACCACAAGACACAATGCCTGGAGTTCCACTAGTTCAACAGAATTGCCTTTTAAAGGTCATATGATTCAATGCTGATGGAGAGCTTAGTCTTGTCCTTACATGGGAAACCTTACAATATGGGCCCTTACTAACTGTGTGAGTAATCTTCGTAAAACTAGCATTCCGTATTAACAAAACAATTAATTCATACTACTCAGTTGGCAAATTTAAAAAATAAAATAATGAAATCATGTCATCCTTCTGTTCTGTTCTCTTAAAAAAACAAAAACAAAAAAACCTAATCCCAGAAATTGTATTTCCGACCCCACTTTCTGAAGTATCTGCCTGAAACTCATCCTGTTCCATTTATTTGTAGGAAAGGTGATAACCAATTGACATTTGTGAATGGAAAGACACTTTCATGGCGAGATGGCTGACCAGCATATTCATATGGACCAGGGTGTCCAAATCCGTTTTATCGATAATCTGAAGGAGAACAAGAAGCCACGAAGCAGGAGGTCAAAACAGGAATCATATGGAGTTGCTATACGTGTCCAGGGAATTGATGGACAGCCTTTTGTTGTCCTGAACAGTGGGGACCAGGCCAAATCTTCCTATGGGGTGCAGATTAAATCCCAGGACACATATGGAAACAATTATCAGAATACCGCACATGATTACCAGGGCATTACTTCAAAGGCTAGCCATACAGTGCGATCTCTAGGCTCAGAGACTGAGCTTCCAGAAAATCCCTATGCAAACAGAGGCTACGTGCAGAGTAGTTCACAGTACAGCAGCACTTCAGATGAAGAGCAGAGCTCCAAGCACCGCAGCAGGTCCAGAGGAAATGAGGGAGTCTCATCAAGACCCCGTCAATTGATTCCTAAACCCACAGAGGAGCTAAGGAGGTCCCAGTCACATAGCTCTTTATGTGATCCTGATATTGATGAACCATATGATTCTGAACGTCATTATAGTGAACGGTCCTCCACTATTGACACGACTTACTCCCAATTATCCAGCAACCGCAGCAGCCTGAGGAAGAAAGAAAATGGTGAACAAACAAGTGGATATAGGTCCACGGTGAACAATCAGCAGTCTACCTCCATTGTCAAAAAATCTTCATTGGAGAACAATGGCTTTCCTTCTTCCTCTTCACCAACACAACCTAGTGATGATATAGACACAAAACCCTTGAGTTCTGTGGATTCACTGATCAGTAAATTTGATGGAAAAGGACAGCTAAGGGGTAGGACGGCACGAAGGAGCCAAGCTCTTAAGGATGAAAGGAAACGTTCGCAGAGCTTGGATGGGAGAAAATCTTACCAGGATGCCAATGATTCTAGGGACCTACCTTCAGAGCGTAGTCAACAGAGTATGACCCAGACAAGAGCAGAGCCTCCAAACACTGGAAGTCGATCCAAGCAGGTTCTGGAGAAGGATGCTGTCAACAAGACAAGACAGACCAAAGAATGGTTGGCCCAGACCTTAGAAGAGCCAGTAACACAAAGACAGCAAAGAACTATCCAATCTGAGTTCCAGGTATTTTCCTTCACATAAAAAAAATGTCAGTGAAATTTGTTGCGTTCTGCGTGTGATGCACAGAAAAGTGGTTGTGTGTGTGTGTTTTGGGTCCTGAATGTTTGGCATCCTGAGCATTCTGCACGGGAAATGTAGTAAGCGTAGTGGCTATTTAACCCTCTGTTAATCTATAAGGAAGGGGAAGATATGTGTGTGTAACCCTGAGTGAGCTGTGTGTACCTCTTGAAAGTGGGGTTACAGGCATGTAGTCTTGCTTGTAATATCAACGGTGATGTTGTTACCTAGTCTTGCAAATGTTTTATATTCCTGTGTATGCTTTTTCTGGAAGACAGGGTAGTTCTGGGGGAAGGGCTTTAGCCATTTGGAGGAGTATAGCATTGTGCATACCCAATTAATTTATTGGTGGGTTTAGGTCATGTATTGTGCTTCTGACGGTGGGGGGAGGGGTGTGTAACTATGTGTTGTAAAAAATAGAAATCAAGAACTTGCAGAAGAATATTACAAAATATGGATACAATAGGCACCAAAACAACTTTAGCTCAGTGAAGCAGTTTTTGTGTTTAGATTTGCAGTCTTACTGCTCAGTTCTCTGCCATTGAGGAGTTACATAGCTGAAAAGAGACTTGTGTCCATTGAGTTCAGACTTTCTCACGTTTGTTTTTGCTGTTGAACCAAAAGAAAGAATGAAACTCAGTTTGAAGCGCTTCCAATTTTTCAACAAACTAGGAACACTGTCTTTCTTGACCTCAGAATGGCAGCTATTACCCCAGTTAAATCACTTTGTTTAAACAGCCCAAGCCACACTTCCCTGCACGTGACTTACACAGCCTTCCTACACGCTTCATGAAAAGGAACCTAGATATTCATGTTTCTTTTATTGCACAGTCTAGAATTCCTTATCTCCTGCTCTGTTGATGGCCTTCTAGAGCCTCCAGTTTAAGTTCAATTTAGAGAGCAGGGGATAAAAACTTATAAAACAAGTTAACAATTGATTGAAAATGAAACCATTTCTTAATACATGCTGCCAGTCACAGCCTGGCGAGGTGTGGCTAGGACTAAAGTGAAATAACAATGTCAGAGCATTGAGCAGTGAGACTGCAGAGACATGATCTACACACTAAAACTGCTTCATTAAAAGGACACTATAGTCACCAGAACAACTACAGCTTAATGTAGTTATGGTGCCTATAGCCTGTCCCTGCAGACAATTTACATTGCTCCCTAGGGACAACTACAGTGGTAGTCACTCAGGCGGCGACTAGTAGTGTTGCATAACCTGCAGCACGGACCTTCAGCGTCTCCACGCTCTGCATGGAGACATTGAAGTTTCCCTGTTGAGATGCATTGATTCAATGCATCTCTATGAGAAGATGCCGTTTGGCCAGGGTGGCATTTGGCTCTGTCCTCTGTCCTGCCTCCTTGGCTGAGATCATCTGAATTGACAATCTCAGCCAATCCAATGCTTTTCTCTTGGAATGTCAGTTCAGCCAAGGAGGCGGAACAGAGGCAGGGCCAGCACCAGCAGACCTGTGCAACACTGGAATTAAGGTTAATGTTATAATTATTTAAGGGGGTGAGGGGGAGGAGGAGAGTTCACCTAGCATATTTTTTTTTTAAACACAATCAGGTCAGGAATACCCATTTTATATTCCTGAACCTGTAGTGTTCCTTTAAGATAAAGTTGTTTTGATGCCTATAGTATCCCTTTAACTGTTACATTTTTTTCAAGTCTGTCTTCAAACTTATAAATATTCCATTCTCCTCAGCTGAAGAGCACCCCAGATCTTCTGAGGGATCAGCAATCTGATGGAAAAGACCCAAACTGGGAGTTGATATACAACATATTGAGAGATGGGTGAGTGGTACTTGTGCCAAAACTTTAACAAATAATATTTCTAAATATATTTACCTGATTAATATGTGACTTTATATATTTGCAATATCATTATTTTATTGACATTTATGAATATTTTTGAAGGTCAAGTGACAGTGACACTATGCAACGAAGGAAGACCAATCTTATTCTAGAGAAGTTTCAGTCTTTCCAGGTGAGTTTTAAAGAGGAGAGATTTTGTTTTGTGTAAGTGGTCTAGTTTTGTTGACTGCATCCTGTCTTTTTCAGATGAAGGCTTTGTAATTTATTTTCTGACACAATTTTCCCTATTTGTTGTTGACTGTATATATATATATATATATATTTTCTTGTTATATTGGATCCTCTCTAATGTACTGCCATCTGCTAACTGTATCATTGGTGACCATGTTAAATGGCACAAACATTGGATGTTCTATGCAGCAATGGGGTCTGCATACACGGGTTAGGGTAATGAAAACTCACAAATATTTTTTTAAAGGTAGAGACTCTTATTTGTTTTTTGGTTCCCCTTGTGATTTGCACTTTTGATGTAAATTTAGGCTTCCCCAAGTGATGATTCTAGGACTCTGGTAAATCAGAAGGAGCTTGAGAGGAAGATCTCTGATCTACAACGACAGTTGGACAATGAGAGGACGGTGAGAAAGTTTCATTTGTTAAATTATAGACCTCTCATTGTTGCCAAGTTTGATGATAGCATGTATTGTAAAGAAAGAGTGTGACTAATCATTATATTTGTTTTGTAGCAAAGGATAAAATTGGAAACTTCTCAAGACCGTCCCAAGCCTGGTCTGCAGAGATTAGAGATTCAGCTGGAGGAGAAAGAGGAAGAATGCTCCAGACTGAAGGACCTATTCGAGAAGAAAAAGATTGAGCTGAATGTCATTTCTCAGGAGTAAGCAGATATCCACTATATATTCATTAACCGAGCAGGAAGCTCAGATTTATTTTATGTGAACATGAAACCTAAAATGGCTTCTCTTTGACTTTTCATATTGCAGCAAGACAGTTACTTTCCAGAAGAGTTTAGTTTGCAAGAGTGCAGTATGTCTGTATAAAGAAGAAACTTACCATGTGCTGTGAGAAACCAACAGATAATATTAAAATGAACAAGAGTTCCAAGCTAGCAAATGTCCATTCTGTGCATATTTCAAACACAGAGGGTCATTGGGGTCCTACAGGATCAGCATCCAGCTTCTGCAGCTCTGCAATTACAGGAGGCCGGCGCGCAGCAGGTGCCAAGTCATCTGAAGTTGTCATAGTGTCTGAAGTTTGTATGTGCAGTGTTTCATTATAAAACCCTGAGCATACAGAGTTTAACCACTTTGACAACTTTGGCAATATGATTGGACTGTCATTTCTATGTGCAGAGTTGCATTCATTGGCATTGTGAAGGCATATACATCCAACTTCTGCAGCTGTTTGGGGCACAGAGCGACACAGATAACAGGGGAAAGCTGTTGCAAAACAATTTGACCAACTACTGGTTAACAGGACCAGGGTACTCCTTACTTCAGAACTACTACAGCGGGCTAACCCTTTAAAAGAACACTGTAGGAACTATAATCACGTCAACAGGTTGAAGTGCTTATGGTGTCAAGATTTTGTGGTTTACTCATCTTTTAGCAGAGAGGGGCTCTGTCCCTGGCAGCCTGGCCGCCCATCCACTGCAATCGTGCTTACACTATTATATAATAGACAAATTCTATATTTTTGTTCCCTTATTACCATCAATATGAGGTGGTAATTTGCAAGTTCGTACTTTATAATCAATAAAGCAATGATTTTTATATTTCAATAAAACCCAATGTCTCTCCTCTTCAACTACTAATAGTTGCTATCCCATTGTCAAAGTAGTGTTTGAGATCTAGGTAAGGTTATATGGTTGCTTTTTGTAATGTGTATGGGCCATGGTGCAATATCTGTAATTAGAAAAACCTATGATGAATGTTCTCCCATTTGCATGAGAGAGATTCTCCCAAGCTACGTAACAGTTTCAATCATGGTGCCATCTTCACAGCTGGTATAAATGCGCAGAGCCTTCACACACTCGGTCACTCTCAACTTGTGTCTCCCCATGTATAGATTGATGGAAGTACGAATGAGCAAGGAACAGGCTGAAACAAAACTGCGATCATTAGAAGACAAGCTATTGGATGCAAAGGAGGAGGTTTCTCGACTTAGGACGAAGGGAGGAGAATCCGGAGATAAGCATGCATTGCTTAAGGTAACAAACCTGACATATTCTCCCTAAACTGTCTCCCAAGCTACTCCCCAGCGTAGTTAGCTTGATGGCAATGCTTCTGCTTCTGCACTTAGTGCTGCATGTGGTGGGGATTAAAACTCCTTTGATGCGTTTTATACTTTATACCAAGAAGATGTATTGGTCAGGAGATTTAGATGTTGGTGGAAAACCTCACTGGAGTTTACAATTTTGTTGTATTATTTTCAGTATAGTTCTTTCAGATGAAGAGTATTATGCAATAAACTCTTGGTTATTCGACTGAAAAAGGTTTCATTTTAAATTATTTTATACTTGCAGTATACTAGCCATGTAATAGTGTCAGAGAGAATACAGGTTTTTGGTTAAATATTTATAGAAGAGGTCCTCACAGCCTCTCTGCCTCCTCACACATTCGCTGCGCACCTGCAGGAGCTACACGAGACCCAAGATGAGCTAGATGATGTGATACAACTCCGGCAGAAACAGGAAGAGCTGCTGAGACAGAGGGAACGCGAGCTGACAGCCCTGAAGGGAGCACTCAAAGAAGAAGTAGCAAATCATGACAAAGAATTAGACCGTGTCAGACAGCAGTACCAGAACGATATACAGCAGCTAAGAAAGAACATGGAAAATGTGTCCCAGGTACCAGAAAGGCACTGACCAATCTGTCACATAGAGATTAGCAGATCATAAATGGGGTTGTTCTGGATATACTGTTTAGTAATGGATGGGAGTCTGAGTGGTGTATGACCGTTCTCGATCGCTGTCCAGTATCCCATCTCAGTAGATCCCCACACCTGCAGAATAATTGTTAGAGGTTTAAATGCCTGTTCAAAAAGTCTCTAATAAATAAGTCCTATTATTCTGCATATAATGTTCGAAATGGTCACATTAGCAGCATCTAGAATTTTGAAGATCTAGAACCCACCAGCAGGTCACCATTCCCAAGGTTCTAGGTAATGCTAGAACTAAGTTAGCTTTTAAATGTTCAAATACAGGGATTCATAAATGAGTTTATCCTCTCCAAACACCAATACATTTTCCCTCAAGTTAAGCCCAACAAGCGTGTAAATTGCAGCTTGGATAGCTGAAGTAGGTTAGAGCTTTGACTTAATTCAAGATGTGCAAGAACTTAACACACTAAAAGCTTTGCGTGCTTCACTTGTCCTCTCACTCCTATTACTCTGTTTCTGTTTTCTCATTGTTGCAGCTGATATGGCTACAGCAGATAAACTTCACTTTTTTAAATTTAATATCTGTCTACTTGAACGCTTCCTTTTGCTCAGGACCAGGTGAGTTTGGAGTCAGAACGTCAGAAGATCAACCAGGTGGTGCGCAATCTGCAGCGGGAACTGGATGAGAGCAGTGACGAGATAAACCAATGGAAAGATATGTTTCAGAAGAATAAAGAAGAGCTTCGCACTGCCAAACAAGAGTGAGTATTGATCTGTCCTAAAGGAAACGTATGTTAGCTGGAGGGGCTTGGCACAAAATGAAAGCCGTGTTAGATCTCAGTTCTGTCTTACAGCTGTAAGTGTTCAGTATCCTGGGGTGTTTTTTTTTTTTATTTTTTATTTTTTTATTTTTTTTTAATATTCTTCTCCCCATCATCAATAGTACAAGTTTGTGGACAATAGGGAAACAAAAAGAAAGGGAAAGAACTTCTGCCTAACTAGCCTCGTCATCCACTATTTTGACCGCTCCTCAAGCCGGTGCAGGTGACTGCGATGTCCTTATGTTCCAGGTTCTTAGTAACGGAGCTGCAGCCAGGTTATCCAGTGCATTCACTTAGTCATGGGTGAGGGGATGAAGGTGTAGAACAGAGATAGGCACAGCAAGAGAATGATAGATACTGAAAAAAGACTGGATGTGAGAGGGAGAAAATGAAAAAGCAAGGGAGAGTAAGACGGGGTGGTGAACTAGGATGTAAAAGTTTGCATTAGTTCTTAAGGGTACTTGTGACACACAAATACACAGTTTCAGAATTGCTAGAAATCACTAAAGTGGTGTAATCCCTGAGAAATTACAGAATTAAAAAAACTAAACCTCATCTGTCTAAAGTGAAGGCAGATATAGCCATTTGGGAAGTGATATTCAGATTGGCATTGGAGCCCAGTAGAAACTTGGTATGTTTGGTATCCATGGACAAAGTGTGACCACAGAGTATTCAAGTATCCAGCAGGCAAAGGGTACATGTAAGTAATAAATAAAATTTAACAAAATTGTGAATTTAATAGTAACATTAATTATATTGTTGGGGTATATTGGACATCTCTGTAAGGAATTAACCCTTTCTACCAGTGTTAACAAAGGATGCTAATTTTTTGTCTATCTTTGTTTTTATTGAGGCATTTAACACAGAAAGTTAGAGCATGTAAACAAGGTTATATAAGTTACTTAAACTCCAGCGTAGAACAGCCTCTTTTCATATCTCTCTCTCCCCTCTGGTATATTTCCATTGCCCTTCGAATAGGCAACTGTAACCCCAATTCTAAAGAAGCCCAATCTTGACCCTAACTCCCCATCCAACTATCGTCCTATCTCGCTACTGAAAAAATTGTGTATGCGAGATTGACCGACTTCCTCGAGTCCAACTCTCTGCTAGACCCGCTTCAGTCTGGTTTCCGCGCTAAACACTCTGTGGAAACGGCACTGTCCAAAGTATCCAATGATCTACTCGCTGCAAAATCTCGTGGTCACTACTCTATCCTAATTTTCCTTGACCTGTCTGCGGCTTTTGACACTGTTGATCATCGACAGCTTCTTCTCATCCTCCGCAATATCGGTCTGCAAGATACTGCTCTCTCCTGGTGCTCCTCCTACCTCTCCCAGCGCTCTTTCAGTGTTTCTTTCTCTGGCTCTGCTTCTTCTCCCCAACTCCTCTCTGTTGGTGTCCCCCAAGGTTCAGTCCTTGGTCCCCTACTGTTCTCCATCTGTACTGCCTCCCTTGGTAAACTCATTAGCTCCTTTGGCTTCCAATATCATTTCTATGCAGATGACATGCAAATCTACCTGTCCTTTCCTGATCTCTCCCCGTCCCTCTTGACTATTGTCTCTGACTGCCTCTCTGCTGTTTCTAACTGGATGGCTGCCCACTTCCTTAAACTAAACTTGACCAAAACTGAAATTTTGGTCTTTCCTCCCTCAAGTGTTGTTACTCCTGTGTCTCCCTCCCTCCAAGTCTACGGTGGTACCATCAGCTCCACCACGCAGGCTCCCTGCCTAGGTGTTGACTCCGACCTCTCCTTCAAGCCTCATGTTCAATCTATCGCCAAATCCTGTCATTTCCATCTAAAAATCATTGCGCGCATCCGCCCCTACTTAACGCCAGATGCGACTAAGGTGTTGGTCCATTCCACTATCCTTTCTCGCCTTGACTACTGTAATCCGCTTCTCAGTGGTCTTACGTGCTCACAACTAGCGCCGTTACAGTCCATAATGAATGCGGCGGCGAGGCTCATCTTCCTGTCCGCCCTTCTGTCAATCCCTACATTGGCTTCCTATAAAATATAGAGCTCAATTTAAAATTCTGGTTCTTGCTTTCAAATCTCTACATAATACTGCTCCCATCTATCTATCCTCCCTTATACACAAGTATGTCCCGTCTAGGCCCTTACGATCTGCTGAAGACTTACGTCTATCTTCTGTCCGTACTCCCACCTCTGATGCTCGCCTTCAAGATTTCTCAAAGGGCTGCACCATTCCTGTGGAACTCGCTTCCCTCCTCCGTTAGATGCTCACCCAGTCTCCACTCCTTCAAAAAATAGTTAAAAACCCACTTCTTCATAAAAGCGTATCAATTAAACTGTTAATAGCTCCTGACTGATTCCTCTTCTGCAACTGTCATTAGTCTAATACTATCCTTACCTTTTTGTGTCATTTTACCCCACTCCCTCTAGCATGTAAGCTCATTGAGCAGGGCCCTAAACCCCTCTGTTCCTGTGTGTCCAACTTGTCTGGTTACAACTACATGTCTGTTCGTCCACCCATTGTAAAGCGCTGCGGAATTTGACGGCGCTCTATAAATATCATAATAATAATATATTACATGAGATAACAATGTAGGTTAAACTACTAGTGTTAGCAGTGATGTCTGTCTAGTTGTAAGGAATTTCAGGGCAATTCCACTATCAAGTTACACTGCACATTAATTGTGTGTTGTAATACAGGCTTCAAAAGCTGGAGCCTAGAACTGTAGGTGGCAATGAGAGGCTAAACCACTGAGTGATTAGAGCTAACTATGTCATGTTAATTCTACCAGCGTATGCGTGTGAGAGTCGTTTGGGTCTAATTTCCCTAGCAAATGAGCACTAGCAACTAGCACTAGATTGGCAAAGAATGTGTTATGCAAGGTGAATTGCAGAAACATGGTGACACACCATTTCCGAAAAATTTCACCAATGTCTTATTGCATACTGTTAAATTTAGCGCACATTAGACATAGAGCCAGAATGAATTTGACCATTGCATACATAGGAGCAAGACAAGAGTAAGTATTAGAGTACAGTAATGCAGGTAGAGCAAACAATTCGGATTAATCTAGTTCCCACCAGTATTGCATAAATCAAATAGGTAAACTAAATAGTAAATTAGAGCTCAGTAAACATTAAAATAGAGGCAATGGAATGGGAGAGGATGTGTGCTATTGGCTAGTGTTATGGGCAAATGTAAATATTACAAGTTTTAGAATGAAATGTATTTCTTAAACTGTGTACTTTGTCTTTAAGAGAGATTGCAAACTGACAAGGTGTTAGAAATAGAACATATTGTTTTTCATAACTGTTTCTTTAAGCAATAACCTCAGTGCATAATATGTTTGCGCCATTTTGTCCCAGACGAATTACAATAACAATAATGCATAAACAAGCTTCAAGGCTATACTACGACTCTTTCAGTACACAATATACTGTGGTAACCCCAAGTTAATGGAACTTCCCCAAATCCGGGAATCTCCCACGACTGTACACTTACGACTTAATATAAACAACAGATAACCTATTTAGACTTTAAGATGCCATCTTGAACTAAGTCAGGAAAATTTCCATGACGTATACACCCTTTAGTTATGGCCTTGTATGTTTGCCAAATTAAGGGAGGTCCTAAAATGAATAAAGTAAATGAACTACGGTAACCTAAAATGGAGACACCTAAGGTATAAATAGGTGTACTTTTAAATGTTAAGACACAGAGGAGAGACTTGGAGACAGACGCTGCTCCATCTTAAAATGACAGAGAGGCTGACATGATGACATGTTCAGAAGGGTATGTTAACCTATTAATGATATTTGCAAGCATGTAATTTAATCTTAGAAACTCTGCTATAATGGATTTTATATTTATATTTTTATATAATAAATATCCAAAAGACAATCTTGCTTCCAAGACAATCCTTATTTTATATTGTATTCTCAATTATTTATATATGGTAAATAGAGGATCTCTTACTAACTATATAAAATTATGGCTAAGATATCTGTATGGTTAGCTCTACTAAGTTCTATGCTTTAAAACATTATAGTGGTAAATAAGGGAACCGCCTGCGGTTACACTAGGAACCCAGGATGGAAAGTTCTGACTCAGCCAATGCTAAGACTCGGGAAGCTGTGGAGGCTGCTCTGAGTTACTGCAAGGCGGGGGTGAACTGTAGTGTCCATCCAGCCCCAGGCCGTGTTGAGGGCCTGCATCATAGTACCAAGGACTTGCAGCAGAGTCCAAGTCCCTCCCAAACAGGATGTGGCAGAAGCTCCGGTTGGTAAGGCGCCGCCTGCGGCACACAGTGTCTCACCTCTATGGTGAATGCAATAAGAGCAGATCCCTGGCGGCTCTCCGTCCAGGCGAGCAAAGTTTAGGAGACTCCATAGCTCGGGAGGAAACTGCGCCCGGAGGGGGCCAACGTGCCCCACACCCCTCACTTCTTCCCAGCTTTGAGCTGGTGTGGCTGCCACTGGAGCCTCCAGTTGTGTCCAGAAGCAGGCGAAGATTTAGTCAAGGTGTCTCAGCATTCCCTCCATAACAGCATGCCTTGCTGATGTACATGGCTACATCCGATGATCGGAAGATGGAACGTCTGTCATTTTGATGGAAAGCTCTGTGTGTTTTGAGTAATTTCTGACACTTGTGGTCGGCTAGGGTGAGTTGAGCTGCTCAGTGGGGGAGACTGCAATAGACAGGAGTCAGTCTGTAGCTGGAGAGTGGCCGCCTCTCCTTGGCCTGTCCCGCCTAGGCCGCAGGCTTTGTGTGAGTCAGGTCAGCATCCAGTAGCCCGTGGAAGGGTTTGCCGGGTGCAGCGTCGTCTCCCCAACAAGATTAGAGCAAGCTGCGGCCAGAACGAGGAAGGTGCCCGGACGTATTCCCTGATAATTGGAGCCAGACGCAGGAGCTCTCGCTAGACGCATCTGGTCAGTTTGGCAGTTAGGCTCCGACCCTCCCTATTTTATTTACTGTGAATGTTCAGTTCTAAATCTCCAAAATTTGGTTCCCGATTCCAGCCATGATGGCGGAAATCCAGTCTATATTAATTCTGATTTGGTGGTAAAATTTCTAAATCTGGACATTGTTGGTAAAACCTAAGAACAATGTCCCACATCTTGATGTCCAGTCCCAGTGACCACTAATCCTGTACTATTGATGATGCATAGTGAGGGCACTTGTTACACACTCATAATTTATTTAAATTTTTTTACAATTTTATCTACATGAGTTAAATAATTAACCACATCTGCAATCTGTATTCAGTCTTCTGCAGATTAAGCTGGAGAAGGAAGAGTTTGAAGATGAGTTGAATGAGACAAAGGAACGATTCTCTCTACTGCAGTCAGAGCTCGATCAGGCCAAGAAGGGATCTATTGACCGTGGAGAAGTTGAAACCATTAGAAAGGTTTGTGTATAAACTGCTTACGGAGCTTGTAGTCGTTATGTATTCTGCACTTTGTTAATCATACATGAAGAGCAATGTAAGTTAATATGTGTATGTACATCTTTGGTAAAATTGACATTTGTTAGTTATATGACCCCTGTCTGAGCACAACAATGGGCTCTCTCTATGACCACTTTGTCCTTTAATTCCCACTCCATCATAAATAATATGCACTATGTCAGACATGTTGGCTATTCCAGGACATTTTCTATTGGCAAATTCCATAACCTGGATTTCACTGCTCAGTCTTGCTGCATTTGTTTTTTGTTTTTTTTTCGTGCTTGGTTCGTCATGTTAACATCAACATTAAGGAGCATTGTTTAGGTATAGTTCTTGCGTTACATTGTGGGTTTTTAATTTTTTTTTTTTTATTATTGTGCAGGTAGCTACATAGCTTTGTCAGGACGGCACAACAGCATTTGGGTATAGATGCATACGGGTTGGATAGTGGCATGAGCCTTTGCACATTTTTAAGAGATTTAAGCCAAGCTTAACGTAATGATTAGGTCTTTACAGTAAAAGTTAAACAGTAAAAATTAAACCGCTTGTGGAACATGCTTGTGGTGTATTAAGTCTGATTTGGTACAGACTAATATATATTTATATTTATATGTGTGGCCCTTCTAAAGTGTAAGCAGGCTATAACATATTAAACATAATGGTCTGCTGGCTGGTAAGCGCGGTGTGTGTACATAGCTGGTGTGTTCTGGGGAGGACCATTTAGGTGAGCCTGTGTAGCTTTGCTAATGTATTTAACCCCTAGAGCACCTCTGTGTAGGTTTGCGTATGTATGCGGCTAAGTTGCCAAGATAGCTTAAACTCCAACGGAAAACAATATAAAATGATACACTGTACAATGGCATAACATGAAGTTGGCTTACTGGTGTGGAAGGGCATATTGGAGCAACCTGGTGCTGATTGCAGGATAGAGAACTATGTCCTTGAGGCGTGCGAGTGATGTGTTGGGGTGGCATGTCTATGTCAGCCGATGCCTCTACTTGGCATAGCTGATGGTGAGTCTCTTCATATATATAATAACATTAACAGGAGGATTTGAAGCACTGTTTCTCATATCAAAGAGGTGAGGTAACAAACCCGGGGTTGGGCTATTAGTATCAGGTGTGGTAGGTTGTGTGCTAGTCCCCTGGGATACTCCAAGTTTGAGGGTGTGGAAATGCTCATTAGTTCTGGTTACGACAGAGCAGAGTGTGTAAGAGCATGTGTATGGGTGTTGCATTTTTGGATCAGGCCTGTCTTTTCGGATGCCTGTGTATACATGTCTATGGAGCCCCTATTAATTTTAGATATGGTGGATTGTCCGGTGTGTATGTAACTCCGGAGCACGTGGTACATCATGTGGCATCTTATCTGTTACCCCTTACCTTGGGGGGGGGAGGGGGAGGGGCAGAGGGTTGTCTAGGGTAGGTGCCATCGTTTTATCGGTCGTAGGGGTCTGTTTGGCCTTGTTGTGCGTGTGGATACCATGTGTAAATAGTAGTGCTTATAAAAATAACAGTAATAATAAGAAAAAACACATAAGGAAGAAGAGTTGCATGCGTGAGATTGAACACGGGTATAGGTAATCAAGGAGATCATAACCAAACAACGTAAAAGTCTTGGTCATTAATTGGGTGTTGATTTTTTTTCAGGCTCAGTCCTTGGTCAAGTGTTTAGAGTCTGTGGGTCCCCTATCGGCTGGGCAGGCTTGGGGCTGTCATCTGGTTCCCAGTTCTCTGTGTGACTAGCAGGTGTGGAGGGGAGTTGCAAGGGTTGTAGTCCTATTGCAGTTAGGAAGGCAGGTGCTCCAGACAGAGTTGTGAGGTTATGAGCAGTCCCGTTGTGATGGACAAGCAGTGAGCCCGTGTGCCCCCACCTGTAGGCTATTCCAGCTGTACATAGTGATGCTGTCACTGGTCCAAAGGTTTTACACCTCAGTAATGTGGCTCTAGTAATGTCCTGAAAGAATAAGAGCTGGGAGCCTCTAAAGGCCAGCGGTGTTTAACCTTTTAGGGCTGTCATTATTTGTATTTTGTTATGTACCGTTATGCAGCGCAGGATGACATCTCTGGGTGTGCTGGGCAAAATAAGGACTGAACCTGTGACTTGGTAGGTCCCGGCCAGGACGATTTTCTTGGCTGTTGCCTGGGGTAATATTGTGGAGAGCAGCTGCCAAGTGTAGTGTGGCAATTCCTCAGTAGAGACTGTGGTGGGTACACCCCGGATTTTAATGTGTGTCCGGCGTTGTTTAACCTCTAGGGACATAATTTGAGCAGCTAGCACTGTTGCTCTGTTTGAATTCGTTGGATGGAGTCTTTGAGGGTGGAAGCCTCGTCTTGGACGTTTGTGATGTCTGCCTCTGCAGTTCTGACACTGTCTGTTACATGTTTTATGTCTGCTTTGATCATCGCGACTTCAGCTGCCAGCAGTTTTTGTATATTAATTAGGAGTGCTTTTAGGTCCCCTTTAGTGGTGGGGGCTGAGTCATCTTGGGATTCAGGCGGTAGTAAGTGTTCCGCCTGGGGAGCCGTTGTGGCGGCTGGTTCACCCCTGTCCGGATCGGAGGCCGGGTTGCTGGCGAGGAGGTGTGTGGCGTGTGCTGACTCAGGATGTACAGGCCGAGCAGCATCTCCCCGATATCCCTGCCTTGTGTGTAGGGGCCAGTTGTGGGTTTTTATGAGCGGTGGCCCATGGTAGTCCTACCTTCATCTGAGTTGGGTAGGAAGAGTTCCGGGTAGTTCCCGCCGAGGTAGGCCTCATGGCCCAGGAGTGGTGTTGGGTGCCTGGAAGAAAGGCATCAATCGGTGTGGTATGTGTCGTTGGTAGGTGCTAAGTGCTTTTGGTGGGTAGATGGGGCTTGGTGAGGGAGATTTTCAGCAGATTGTCTCTGGGTTTGGGAGAGCAAGCTTAGATGGCGTCTGTACAGGATGGCTGCAAGGCCCTTGCTGCATTTTATTATCTAATTTTTTTTCGCCTATCCAACTTGCAGGAGCTGCAGCGTGCTCAGGACCAGGTGAAGAAGCTATCAGTGGATAAGCAGAGATTTGAGGATGACCTCCACCAACGAGAGAGGGAGTTGTATGCTGTAAAAGGTGCCTTAAAAGATGAAGTGTCTGAACACGACCGAGATAAAGAGACTCTGCGGGAACAGTTCCAAAGTGAGAACGAACAGATCAGAAAGGACTATGATGACCTGCTCAGGGTAGGGGGCTCTGTTCTAGTACATCGATGTAATGTGAAGAAGCTGTATATATTTTAACATAGGCAAAAAACATCAGAGAAGATATTGGAGTATGTATTTTTGAGCCAGAGGTTATATTGGGGTTAAAGAAGGGGAGTATTTTCCTAAAAAGTAGAATCCAGGTCCAAAGTTAGATGCCAGACCAAAAAAATATATATTTTTTTCCCTACCCAAAGTGGGAACCCGATTATTTATATTGAAAGATCAATTGAAAAGATCTTCAGCAAAGGAAGGATTTGGGAGTTTCTATAGTATGTTGTGCAATCAGGTTATTTTGACAGATCTGACTTGTTTTCTTTAGTAGCCTTAAAAAGATTATTTTATTTTATTATGGAAAAATACAGCAAGCTTGTATCTAACTCTGATTGTTTTAAAATGATTTGACTATCTGTGTGGTCTGTTGTAAGTGAAACTAATTCAATCAAGGCCAAAATTCAGCCTCTCTCCAATAGTTTGAAACCAGAAACTGGCCCTTTGGTCACACAGTTTCCCATCATCGTTCTAAGAGGAACTTGTTTATGCATTATGAAAGCCTGACATTGGGCTAATTTTGATCAGTCTAGTGGTTTTAATCTCTAGCAAGGATAGGAAACTCTTATTTTAAGCATATACATTGTGCAGTGAGTCACCTGCTGGGTAAATGGTATCCAATTACAATGTATAATGGCACCAAATTTACCAGAGTAGTTAAACTGAAATGATGGACTCCTTCCCATCCATGAATCGCTGAAAACTATATTTGCAAGATTATTCCACAAATGCTGCATTTATTGGTAAAAATCACATGATAAACAACATTGCTGGCAGAAGCAATATAAACACTTTCTTGTCCATTATAGCGGATATTCTGCTGTGAGAGATGCTGTGACGAAATGCATTTTGTCACTGGATTTTTAGGTGACAAGCTGCCCTTTGCCCCTGGCTGTTGGAGGAGCCTGAGTGCCAGCCTGCTGACTATGGCCATTGGTTGTATGGCCCTTTACAAACATTATTTGGGCTAATGGATTTATATTGTGCTGCTGCTGGCCCTTTTAGAACTGCATTGTGGTTTATGGACTTGTATTGGACCATGCTGGCCCTTTAAGAACAATCTGGGGATATATTGAGACTTTGTGTGACAATGCCCCTTTAAGACTATGTCCCCACACCTTTAAAATACTTTGTTTATGGCTTTCTCCCACTTGGTTCAGTAAATGGAGCTTACTGAATCAAGTACCACACAGGCGGACCACCCAGAAGTGTAAGTGTGCAGGCAATTTACCTGCCAGGCTGGGAGCTTGCTGTAGGTAAATTGCCGACCACTGGGTGGCCGCTGTTCGCGCAAACGAACACGTGGCGGCGCCATCTTTGTTCATTCGAACGAGGTCAGCGGTATGTGTAAATTCATGGAACTGAAATCGACTACACATTTTCACGAACACGGCTGACCCTTAAAAATGTGCCTGCGGTCGGTCATAAAGGACTTCCGTCTAACTTTTTATCTACTGGATGGATTTGTCTGATTTTTGAGTGTTTATATTTAAAGTGTGTTTATTCTGAATATGTCATTTTTATGAAGCTTGGATGTATATTTTTAAAGTTACAGTGTATGTATAAAAACTGTATTTTTCCTGTCAGTAATAATTATGTTAACCATTGTGTACCATAATTATATCACAGGCAGAGGGGAAGATTTTATGTGTAATTGCTGGGAGTGTTTTCTGTAATGTACGTGTGTTATTGGTTGTTCTGTAAAACACTGTGGATGGTCCTATGTATGGAAAACCTGCATAAAAGAAGGCCCTTTGGTGCCAATTAATAGAGATCTTGTACCTTCATGAAGTTTTGGCTCATGTTTGGGGGATTGGAGAACTACACTCTGGGGATTGCTAAAATCATTATACTCCCCAGGGTATATTCACTAAGCTCTGCTAAGAGCTTGTTCCTGTTCCTGCTCTCTGGAATTCGGAGAGGTCGACCTACTGGAAGCTGGACCCTGGTCTTGGGTCCAGAGTGGGTGGAGACAGCGAGACCCCAACCAAGCTGCGGCGGTTCGTGGGGTCTGCAGTGGTTATGGTGTCGGGCAGAGTGCTTGGAATCCTCGTAAAGCACTAGGAGCATCCGTCAGCGGAAGGTACCCGGTCGGGGTGCCAGCGGTTCCATTACAGATGCCATGCAAATAATAATCCGTTTAGGAGAATCAAGCTAGATCGAGACTAACTGAAATAATCCAACACTCATTGAAGACCGAAATTTTGACCATTGCTGTCCAGAACACAGAGCATGTTCCTTATTTAGATCTCATAGGCTGCCTGATGATGACCACCGCTTATTAAAGTATAAATACAAGCCACTGCCATACTGAAGACTACAAATGCAACCCACCAACATCCAGTACACAGATCTCCTAGACTTCTCTTGTTGAAGTACACATAGAAATCATAGCCAGCCAGAGGACAGAAATCAATATCTGCATTGAATTTAGTTGTCATTGTGTTTTGTTTATTGTGGAAGTTTAATTGGTTAGATATCTTGCAACATGTTTTTGTGAGTGCATATTAAATCAAACCTATCAACACAGGTCACGCTAGTTTAGGCACAGTGCCGATGTAGCCATGGTTTGTTACATACAATGTTCTTGCAGAAATTCTACTGATTTACATGTCTTGTACACTAAGAGGTTTAAAAGCAACACCGTTAGTGAAGGTTATCTCCATTAAATCCATCTTGCAGGATCTGCAGCGAGTTCAGGAACAGGTAAAGCAGCTCTCTGTGGAGAAGCAGAGACAGGAGGATGACCTGCATTTGCGAGAGAAAGAGCTGTCTGCTCTGAAAGGAGCGCTGAAGGAGGAGGTTTCTGATCGTGATCGTGAGACAGAGCGACTGCGTGAACAACTCCAGAAAGGGAATCTGAAACTCAAAAAGGACTATGAGGATTTGCTTCAGGTGAGTGGTACAGCACGTGTTTTTATTATTCCACATGGCCTCAACTAGAACTCCAGCGAAAGGTAGGTGTTGGTATTTGGTACATGGAAATGGATATCCTGATAGACAGTGCAAGATATATGGTTCATGAAATGGGTATGTACAGACACTGTTAGTGTTGTTGGCGTTTTTTTTTTTTTCTTCTTTTATTTACTTTTCCCCCAATCTCTTTTAGACTATCAAAAAGCTGGAGAATGAGAAGGCTGAGTCTGAGCGCTTGCGAAAAATTATTGAGAGCACTCTTCAAGAGAGTAGGGACGAGAATGATGACCTCAGGAGGAAGATTTTGGGCTTGGAGGCTCAGATTAAAGAGCTGAACACATTCTGTGATGATCTTCAACGTGCAGAGACTCGACTCAAGGACAAGATCAGCAGACTTGAGGTTTGTGTAATGGCGATTTCGTTTTTTTTTTTTTTTTGTGTACATTATGTTAAACAGTTACTCCAGCCTCCATGACCACATCTGTTTTAAGAAGTGGTTATGGAGCAATAACTCTGTATGTGAAGTGATTTATCCTTGAATTGCTGCATGTACAGTGATATCCTCACTTTTGTGCCTGGATCTAGTTGCACCACCGATAAATGTCTTGGGCAGTCCCGAATGGATGGGAGGGTGGACAATACAGATTGAGGAGAGCTTGGCCTAGTGCTGGCTTCCAGGTATTCTGGTGGTGGGGGTAGAGACATATAATGCTATTTAATTAAAATTATTTAATTGGTCTATTATCAACAATCTAAAAAGAATGCACAAACTAACTGGAGTAACCCTTTAACATAAGCTTTTAATATAAATATGATATTCATTAAGTTGAATGATTGGGTCTTAGAACAGATGGATATTAACACCATATTTATGTAAATATTATAGCATCTAATGATTGTATTTTACATTCTTTGTTGCTCTCTTAGGCTAATCGCCAGCAAATGGAAGAATCCCTGGGAGAAGCCACAGACCAGGGACAGGAGTTTGCTATGGTAAGGCGGGATCTGGAGACAAAACTGGAGGAGTCTCAGAGGAGTCTGAGACGACTGACATTGGAGTACGATGAGCTTCAGGAGTGCTACCAGGAAGAAATGAAGCAGAAAGACCAGCTGAAGAAGACCAAGAATGAGTTGGAGGAACAGAAGCGTCTATTAGACAAATCCATGGACAAACTTACCAGAGAGGTGCACAGCAGTTTTTCTATATAGTATTTAAAATAAGTAAAATGCACAATACTTCATTTTTGTCATGTGCTTAGTGCGAAATAAATGGCTCATCACATAAGTGTGAGTACATGGTAGAAAGAAAACTACAAATTAGACTTTCTGACGTGCAATGCCTTGTCTTACAGCTTGACACCATGTCTACGGAGTCTCGTGGATCTCTGCAGGTGCTTCAGGCCCAATTGGAAGAGTATAAAGAAAAATCTCGTAAAGAGATCAGTGAGGCACAGAAACAAGCTAAGGAGAAGTCAGCCGAGGTAGAACGGGTCCAAATTAATGCTACTCGTCTGCAGGAGGAGGTAAGGACCCAGAGATGAAAGAGTTAGGACACTTCCAAGAACTAATGCGCTGTGTAGATTGATGGTTAGAGTTGTCTTGGTGTATGTAGCAGCCTTCTTGTGTCACTTAGTTACTATATGCATCAGCAGGAAGAGCAATATATATTCCAAACTGCCATAGTTTGATCCCAGTCTGTTTGTATGTCCAGGTACAGAAACTGAAGCAGGCTTTGCAGGAAAGCCTAGCCGATACTGAAACTGCCATATTAGACAAAGAGTTGGTTGCTAAGCGGCTTCAGAGTCTGGAGGAAGACATTGAGTCCAAGAAGCGGGTCCAGGATGACCGTTCAAGGCAGGTCAAGGTGCTAGAGGTTAGTAACTTCTTTTCGGTTTTTCATTGGAATGAGTTTTTGAGTGCATGTCTAATTATTTTTACAGGCTCCTCCTATATTTTTGTATTTTTTTACAACTCCATGTAAATCTGAATGACTCTGTAATTGCTTTTATATACTCATCCCAATTAAGTGTTAGTGGAAATGCTGAAACACATCTGTTTTGCAGGACAAGATGAAGCGTCTCGAGTCGGAATTGGATGAAGAAAGGAATACAGTGGAACTACTTACAGATCGGGTTAACCGCAGCAGAGATCAAGTAAACTTCTACCCCTTTCCGGGATTTGAGTTATTCTTTGTGGATGTAGACAGAAATTGGATTAGTATAATACATGGAAAGCACAGCGAGTGGCGACCCCTAGAGTGCAGGTGTATTGTCTAGTCTTTTAGCATGCACTTAAAAAAAAAAAAAAAAAAATACAGTTAAATTTTTCACCTTCCTTTCATATCCGATGGGGTGCTAGAGTATAACCTCTATTATTTATAGGGACAATAGGCGTATTTTTCCACAGCTGTGCAGATGGTAGGTTCAAAGGGTCTATACTATTGTGTGGTACATCTCTGGCTGTCACGGAGGCACCTACTGATATAACTTAAGCAGCACTGTCACCACCTGGGGAGTTTTCTGAATTCGCAGAGACCCCCCAATGGTGACATCAAAGCTGTGGGACCGTGGAGGACAAGTGAAGGTGAGATTTTTATTCAAACCTTTCCCTCACGGGTGCATCTTGTTCCAGCAGGTCCTCTTCAGTAGCTCCATTAGCTGCCATCACTGCTGTTCTCTCAAGCATGCCATAGACAGAGCCAAGTCAGACAAAGGAAATATGTATATATAGTCCTTAGCTTGTCTTTGTATAGCTCTTGATGGGGTTCGAATTTCAGTGCAATTCCAACACCGTTAAAATTGGAATTTCACGAAGAAATGGTTTGACAGTGCTTCTTTAAAAAAGAACAATGCCTTTTATTTTTTTCAATATAATCTAATTCAGTATTATATATTTTTACAATTCCCATGTTTTTATGAACTAATTAACATCCTTAAGAAATGTTCTGAATGTTAAGAAATTCTCATATCTTCCTCACACTACTGTTATCTTATGATGTTGCACTTTAACACATTCAGTGGCTTGCTCTGTGAATTTGGTGATCACACCCAAAAAAATGGAAAGTGCTCAGTCATGATGGGGGGAAATTGTAAATAATTTACTCTCACATTGTTTTTTTGTATTTTTGTCCATATGCCACTCTGTTTCTTACATTGTGTTGTCTTTCAGACTTCACCAGCTTTTTAAATCTTTTCTCCTTTCAGATGGACCAATTGCGAGCAGAGTTGATGCAGGAGAGGTCTACACGGCAGGACCTGGAGTGTGACAAGATTTCCTTGGAGAGACAGGTGATATTATCATGGTCTATATTGGAATGTGTCCATCTCTGTGTTCCACTAATGTTCTTTTCATCAACCATTCCCCGTGATAGCCTGATTTCTCCTGATTTATCCCACATTTCATCATTGTTTTAATAGCCTCTGTCCTTGTTCTTCTTCAGAACAAAGATCTGAAGAGCCGATTGGCTAGCAATGAGGGCCAGCAGAAACCAAGTGCCAATGTCACTCAGCTGGAAGCAAAGCTGCAGGATATACAGGAAAGGCTGCAATCCGAGGAGAGGTAAACCGTGTCACATATCACTTTTATGTTGATCCGCTTACATTACATAATGTCTGTAGAAGAGACCAATCTGGCATTCAAGTTAAGTGTTAAAGCTGCACTCAAATACTCCATTAATTAAAATGTCTTTAAAAATGAGAAGTGTTCTGGAGGACAAGGTTCAATTGCTGTAAGACTTACCTAGTTGCCTCCAAGGCAGCATTGCAAATGCAAACGTATTAAAAGGCAGTTATGGTATATTAAGTAGGGAAAGCCTTTTAGATTTCTTCTTCTTTAGTGGGTTGTTCGTTTATAATCCTTGCTGATTTATATGAAAAGGCTGCATAATTCTTATGAGTCTAATTGTTCTCATTCTTTTATTTAATGGCTTTCTTTTCCCTGTTATTTTGTAACTCCTGTGCCATGCTGCACCCTGTGTTTACTGTCCTGCTTCACCCCATGCAGTTTTTACGTCCCTGCTGCATACCTCCCAACATTTTAAATGGACAAAGAGGGACACTTTCATTTTAGGGGTGTGATCAGGGGCGGCCTGTTCTGAGAAATTTTAGGTAATTTACTAATGGCAATTTATACAACTAAAATGTAATTTAAAACAAAATCAATGTATCCTATCCACACAGGCTGATTTCTAAACACATTTATTGTAGCTTAAATATTACTGTGGAGCTCTGTTATACACTCAGACACACCAACAATATGGGTCTCTTAGAAAAGAGGGAAAATAGGATAGAGGGGCAGAGGGAACTGGGCACTAAATAGGGGCATTTGGGAGGTATGTTCACCCAATGCTTTCACCTCCCAACATAACCCTGCACTGATTGTATTGCCCTAGTGCACCATTTACATCTTTACTGCCATAGTGTATCTCCTGTTTCACGGTGCTGTATACACCATGCAATGCTGTATGAGGACATATATATAATCTAAAAGGTGAACCTGCAGAATTGCTGGACTACTTCTAGAGGACATAGTGAGTATGGTAGATTACCTTATCTTTAACATTAATATGCATGGAGATTGCACACACACACACACACACACACACACACACATATATAATGTGTGTGTGTGCAATCTCCATGCATATTAATGTTAAAGATAAGGTAATCTACCATACTCACTATGTCCTCTAGAAGTAGTCCAGCAATTCTGCAGGTTCACCTTTTTAGAAAGTAGCTTCAGGTTATATTTTCAAAAGGAAATTGACTGCTTAGGGCAATTAGAAATACATTCTCCGGTATTTCATTGTATGATAGGATTTGAAACACTTATATCATTAATGTGCTTGAGTATCGTTAAACTTTTTGTTAACGCATTAAAATGTGTGATCATCCTGGAGTCTTTTTTGTTTTTGTTTTTTTCTTTCTTTCAATTCGTTATTTTTCTTGTGCTTGTAATTACAACATGCTTGCAGCGCCACGACGGCATGTACAAGTTATTCAACGTCATACAATGTCATGGCAGAGTAAACAGCACATTTAAATGTTTTAGATAGAATAGGCTTGGTACGTGTGGATAAAACTTTTATAGCTGAGCTATACATGCATTAGTTGAGTAGTTATTATGCAATTAGTAAGTTACATGCTAATAACGTCCGGTATAGATTTCTCCACACTGCTTTAAATTAACCACCAGGGGGCAGCGAGTCACTGAGATTGCCAGGTAACGCATATAGTTAGGCTCAGACATTTTTAAGTGATTTCTCTGCAGTGATAAATTCAACTGTATTAAAATCATAAATCATGTTAAAAGGACAATGCTAAACTAAAGAATATACAGTGCTCTGCTAGACTTTCATTATACAAGGTTAGCAGCCGCTTAGTTACTCCTGCAGCTGTGCTGGGTCGGCTGGCGTCCTGGCCATCATCAAGTCCCTTGTGTTTCCCACTGGTTGCTTGAGTTCGCTTTTGTGCTTCTGCCAGCATCAGCCTTGGGTGCAAAATAAAGCCTGCGTAACCCATAGAAAGGGCCGTGCAACAGGCTAGCCATGCAATGGACAAAGACGGACAGGGCTAAGATCAAAAGCGCAGTGAAAGAAGCCACTAGCAGACCCATAACTAACCAAACCTAACGAATGCATCACCAAGGCCCACGGAGCAGTGACCAACTGGACCGCCCTGACACACCCGACCAACTACGGCAATATCCAAGACAGCCACACCACACCCAAAAGGGATTAAACATATAAGACCCACAAAGGGGGAGGGAAACAAAAAAAAAAAAAACCTACCCCTAAGGACCCCGGGGAAACACACACAGGACACCGCAGACCTCCACACACCACACACCAGCTCGCACATGACGATATAAGGGACGACTACAGCATCACACCAGAACAGGCCAACGTTTTTTTTTAAAAATAATTGAGCTACCGTGAAGACAGCACACCGACTACCATGCTATGGTAGAGCAATACAAACAGTCAGCATCTGCACGGACATATTGCCCGCCACCTTTGTTATACGGGCAGAGCCTCTGATCAGGCGATGTTGACGCACAAGTTTGAATCAGAAGTTTGAATTCAATGTACATTAGCCTAATTAATACAAACGTAAAAGTAAAAACAATTTAACACGCAACACCTGCAGAAACCAACTAACACAAACACCAGCACACACCAGCTAACATAATGCAAATACACAAACCCGCTGATACAAACTACTGTACGACCAAGCCAACACAAGACAACAATATAAACACATTCACACACTTATGTCAAAAAATCAATTCTCACAGACACATAATGGTAGCCCATACACCACCTATTGACATCACCACCAAACATGCCTGATACAACACTAACACACAGCATTGCCAAACCGGTTTAACGAAACTAATGTACTTAATTCTGCAAAACTTATGTACCCTTAAAAATTTGTCATGACATGATTACTTTGACATATTCATGTATCGATAACAGCGCCTCTGCGCAGGTGATTGACTGCTTAACATCAAAAAAGTTTGCAATGGAATTTATGTTATGGAAACAATAAACATATTCAAAACAAAATAAAGCCTGCGTGCTGTGCCCGCTGCTCCTTTGTGTGGGCAGAGTGAGAGTCCAGGTAAAGTCCCCTTAGGTCTGCCGGTAACATAGGGAGTTGTAGCTTCCGATTATGTACATGGGAGCTCGTTCTCCGGCTTGTAATGGGCGCGGTGGCCATCTTGGATTTTGCCATGCGGTCCTTGTTTGATCATTTCGCTGCTCGGATGGTAGAAGCAGTCACTGCCTCTCCAGTGGGGAGAAGGGGCTCTCAGGAGGCGTGCGAGAGGTCCTGCCGGACTAAGCACGGGAGATCGGCCGTTTCTCCCGCCAGAACCTCACGACAAGCCTCAATCCCAGCTGCCCATCAGTCAGCATTACCGGCAGGACGGGGGCTGATATTGACAACGAGGGTGGTTGCTCGTGTCCCCTTTGCCTTCTTGTGGCTGTTGATCGTTAGTTTCAGGGAAAAAAGGTAATTTTTGCCAGACTGTGATATTTTCATAGCCGAGTCGAGGAACCCCACGTCCATCCGGCTCGGCGGTCAGGCCCCACCCCCCTTCATCTTGGAGTCTCTTTAACCTATGACATTAACCTGTGATGTCCTTTACCAAACCACTAAATTTTACATTTATCATATGCAACATATTTTCTTACAGTAGAATATATGTGTGTGTGTGTGTGTGTGTGTGTATATATATATATGTATATATATTTGTTTGTGTGTAATACATATAGATTTAAATTTTTTAATATCTTGTGTTTTAGGGAAAAGAGCACCCTGTTGTCTTCAAACCGCAAACTGGAGCGAAGATTGAAGGAATTAAACATTCAGCTTGAAGACGAGCGGCTGCAGGTTAATGACCAAAAGGACCAGGTAAACAAAAAAAAAAAAAATGTCCAAAAGTGACAACTGTCGCTCAGGAGCTATATTTTGTTTTTACTGTCTTACACCTGCACTAAGAATATTGCTGTTACACACACAGAAAGTGGTTGTGTTGGAGTTTTTGGGGAAAACCAAGTAATCTGACATCACTTCATTTCTGTTTCCTCACCAGCTTTTACTGCAAATAAGCTATTTCTTCAGAATGATCCTAACGAAAGAGAATGCCGGCATTGTGATTACTATGACCTGCCAGTCTTATAGGCTTTGTGTCTGTGTTTCTCCCACAGCTGAACTTGCGGGTTAAAGCTTTGAAGAGACAGGTGGATGAAGCGGAGGAAGAAATTGAGCGACTGGAGGGGCTGAGGAAGAAAGCTGTGCGAGAGATGGAGGAACAGCATGAGATGAACGATCAGCTACAAGCCAAGCTCAAGGCCTTGGAGAAGGAATCTAGGTAAGAATCGGGGAATGGGGCGGGCAGAGAATTAACCCCTTAAGGACACATGACATGTGTGACATGTCATGATTCCCTTTTATTCCAGAAGTTTGGTCCTTAAGGGGTTAAAAGGATGGATTTTACAGGTCAGTCTCCCATGGCTGAATCTCTTATTTAACAAAATAAATATTTTTTGATTTTGTTGAGCTACAGTCACTTTGCACATATTACAGCATTTATTGAATCTAGTTAAGGAAATCACCCCAACCCACATTTAGTAACATCTTCTCATTTAAGTACCACTATATCCTTAAAGGGATACTATAGTCACCAAAACAAATTTAGCTCAATGAAACCGTTTTAGTGTATAGATCAGGCCCCTTCGGTCTCACTGCTCAATTCTCTGTCATTTAGAAGTTAAATCACTTTTGTTTTTGTTTACGCAGCACTAGCCACACCTCCCCTGCCTGTGTCTCACACGGTCAACTTGAAAAACATGGTTTAATTTGCAACCAGATCCTAAAGCAAAGTGTGTGTAATACACACTATAGACTATCTTTTCTCCTGCTCTGTTAATTGAACTTTAATCACACCGAAGGCTTCTGTGGACTCAGCAGGGTAACAGCAGAGCTGGAGATACAAAATTCTACATTAAACACTGTGCAATACAGGAGGTTTAAAAAAATAGATCTCTTTACAATACGTTGGTATGGAGGCTGCATGAATAACAGGTATGGTAAGATGAGTCACAGACTAGGGCTACATAAACTGATGTAACTCCTAAATGGTAGAGAATTGTGCAGCAAGACTGCAGGGATATGATCTATACACCAAATCCACTTTATTAAGCTAAAGTTGTTTGGATGTAGTGTTAGGAATACAAACCTAGTGCATGTTTTTAAAGGTAGTTTTATTTACCTTTACTCCCTTGCTGCGTCCACCCTGAATCCTCAGCTGAGATCATCCATTTTGGCAAACCGCATCACTACGCCAATCAAATTCTCTTTTAAAAGATACATTTGATTCAATAAGAATAACAATGCAGCACTAAAAGGTCAGGGCCCCTGTACCCAGACCAAGCTGATTATTTTTTCTTTTAGAGTAACTAAAAAGTCCCTTCATTTTTAGCCCAAATTCCTTTAAAATAAGAACAAGACGGTAATGCCAGTCCTCAAAAGGGTCTCCCTCACATTTATAAATGTTATCTGCCATGAATATGCTTTTTTTTTTTTTTCTCTCTCTCTCACTCTTTATGTAGACGTAAGCCTGTGCGACACAGTGCCGATGATGATCTCAGCTCCGATGGAGAATATGACGGACCATACGATCCCAGCTCCATAACATCGCTGCTGACAGAGAGCAACCTCCAGACCAGCTCCTGCTGAAAATCCAGATAATAAAATAAATGACTATTCTGACTGGAGTGTAGTTGTGACAAATTGATCAGGGAAGTTCTGATGGAAACTGGTGACCCCTGACTGCCAAAGAATCGAAGTTTCTCCATGAAACCTCTTGACTAGAGAACAAATTTAGGAGGGAAAATTCAACCAAATGTGTGTAAATCAACCCTTCGTGAATGTAAATATCTCCCTTTTACTGCAAGCAGTGCAGGTTTGATAAGAGCGCAGTGCCTCCACCCAAACGTAGCACATACCCCCAACAGAAGAACTCTAAAGAAGAACTTTATGCGGAAGAGCCAATCTTCCATACTAGGGCTCAAAGGATAGATTGAACCTGCGGTGCCTTACAGAGAGACTGCTAGGCGGAGACTATTTGAAATCCTACTGCTAATTATCACTACACTCAAGGAGATGACTTTATGTGCTTACTAATGATTGTTTAACCAAACTTTATGCCCCTCAATTCCTAAGAATTTCCATCTTCCTGTCATCCAGTCAGGTTTGCTATTTACAGAGACTTACTTCTGACAGAGGCCCCAAGAGTACTGAAGCATTTTTCTTGTCCGTCACTAAATGGCTAAAAATGTATTTTCCTTAAAGAAAATTAACAGAAGATTGTACAGCTGAATGGTACATAACAGCTATAAGTTGGGTCTAAATGCCTCATCCTTTGCATTGAAACCCACTGAGAATATCGTCCAGGCAGCCTAAAACTGTGGGGGAAGCCCATTGGGTTATAATGGTGACATTCTGTATACTGCGTGCAGGAAAAAGGTTACACTGTTAATTTATTACTTTGAATCATACTCTGAATTAAATTACAATATAGAATGTAAAATCGTCAATGTTTGACATGGGAGAAGGTGCTGACCTTGTTTTTATTAGATTGTAATAAGATGAAGCCCTCCTCTTTCTCTACATTGAATCACATTCAACATTCTGTATGCCAAAAGTGTAAGGTTACACTTTTTTTTTTTTTTTTAATAAGATTGTAATAAAATGCAACAACTACTGTTCTTAACATTGGATCACAATGTTGAAAGTATGCCTTCAGTATTTTCGGTTCAGAAAATGGGAGAAGATGTACTCGTCTTTTTTAATATATTGTAATATGTGCATTCCTTCTTCCCCAACATTCTCATTTAGACTATACAATGTAGACAGGATAGCCTGCAATAGTCTACCCTTCTCATTTTTACTTTGAAACAAAACACAGTTGTACTCATCATTGCATTATAATTAAGGGGTTTTGACTTTAAAGGGACACTGTAACTACTTCATGTAATTTAAGTTGCTTTGGTATCTGTATTACACTAGTGCTGCAGTTTGGTTCAGCGTTTAACCTTTTTTTAATGGTTAAAAAAATCCCCAGCAGCCCATGCCCTTCGTGCTACGTGGGCTAATAAGGAAGTATTAAACTGAGCAGCAATGAGTGGCAGAGGTTGACTGACTGCTCTAAGCATGTCACAGCTGCTCACTGCTGGTAGGAATTGGTATTTAATCTTTTCCTTGCCATACTTCCAGCAGGAGCAGAGTTGTGGGCGGCCAGTGACCATAATTCAGTGTTAAAGTGCTCAAAATAGTGTAGTAGTCCAGGCACTTATAAACAATTCAATTAGATAAAATGGTTATAGTGTTTACAATGTCCCTTTAAATATTGTGGAAGATAAATGTGGGGGAGGGTTCAACATTATTTGCCTTTTATATATAATTGTAGAGTGAAACCTTCTAATATTCTCATCTTTGAGTTACAATGTGTATGACTGTAAGCATTCTGGGTGCAGAATATTGTAACAAGCCCACTCTTAAGTAAATGGTAATTTAAAAAAATACCCATTTTTAATTATTAACATCGGCTTACAGTGTCGCAGGGGTGACGACACTTTCTGGTTTAAAAAAAAAATTGGGCCCCACTTTTGTTAGATTGTGTTAACGTGCTATTTTACTCCCCTGCTATTTTATCCCACCAGTGCCTCTGTAACATTTGTAATACCTCAGAACCTCTTTACTTTGTCCTTGTATAAAGTAATGGTCAGAGGATAATCTCTTCATATGTATGTCTAAAACAATATATATATAATGCTACAAGCTATTAATATATATATAAAATGCTACAAGCTATTAATTGTCCAAAGTGTTAAAAAAAATTGCGCATGTCCATGTAATCTATCCTGTTTATATTGCACAGGAGGGGTGGGGGATGCAGTTATGTATTTAAAGAAATGGGAATTTTAAAAGAAAATATTTTATGTATATTAAATATAATTGTAGATGAAATAGAGGGGGAAAGCATTTATGCAAATATATATATATATATAAATTAAAACTTATGACTTTTTTTTTTTTTTACACGTGAAGAGCGAATAGAGAATTGAATTTAACTAAATGGAGGTATGACACATGTTCAAAGATAATCATAAATGAAGAAAAACTGGGCACAGATCTAAGATTCCAGAAGATTTAATGGTTGCAGATTCACAATATTTCTGCTCCTAACAAATAAAACAGACAAGTCTGTTGGGAGCCTAAATGTTTCTTATTTTCATCCATTAAATCTGCCTGGATATTAAACATGTACCCAGTCTTTTTCTTTGCTTGCAATTATCTTTGGAGTTTGGTCACCTCTAGACTAGAGGCATGCTCACTATTCCTAATGTGTGCCTAACCAATCTTCCTACATATTCAGAGGCACACGTGTATGGAATATAGCCACGTTGGATGCCTCAAATTATTTGCAAGACAGTTTGTTTGGGAGACCGTGCCAGACAAGTTCCTGTGATATATCACGCCTTGCTCAGGAATGTTAATCCCTTTCCCACTTTTCACAGCGTTAATGTTTAACAGCAAGAAACTTTATAATCATTTGAAATATTCAGCGTCACTGTTTGCGTGCAGAGGGCAAATGTCCTTGTCTTGTCTCTTGAGCATTTTTTTTCATATGGTCCAATATCAAATTTTATAACTGATCTGGGAGCTTTTTTAGTTTGCACTCTGTATGATCAAGACTCGTTAATAAAAACTCCTGATTTTCTAAATGGTGTGTTTATTCCTTCTGTTTAATAATATAGGCTGAAAGGAAACCTACTCAAGTTAATCAATTACAATTTATTTAGCACCAATATATTCTGAGGGTGCTGTAGAGTATGTAAACAAGACAAACACTGAATTCCAACAAAACCTGATATATATACTGGAATAGTAGGTGAAGAAGGCCTTGTCCATCAAGTTTAGACTTTCATTAACAAATAGTCTTTCAAAAAACAACTTCAAGCGATTTCCAATTTTACCACAATATAATAGGGGGGGCGGGGGGGATTCCTTCTTGACTCCAAAGTTTTCTAAACAATAATTTTATATATGTTGGCACTCTTTTGTCACTAATGGTGCTGGTATCAAGGTCACCCTCCAATAGGTCACCCCAAATAGATGACAAAAATATAAAAATTATACCGCACTCACATCATCACATTTTTTTGCCTCCCTCTGAGTGCCTGCAGGAGCAATGGGAACTGCGTTCCTGCTGTAAAAAAAAAAAAAAGTGCAGAAACGCCGTTCCCACACGTTCCTGCAAGACTCTAGCCCTGAACTACAGCTTATTGCATTTGTTCTGGGGAGTAGAATCATTCCCTTCAGAAGTTTTGCAGTAAAACAGTCTTTTCAGGGAAAATGCAGTGTTTTACATTACAGCCTCCAGTGGCCATTCCTTAGATGGCTGTTTGAGGTGATTCCTGGGGCAGTGCTGCACAATGTGACTGTCATTCAGTTTCTCCACCCTCTGCATGCAGACACTGAACTTTCCTCATAGAGATGCATTGATTCAATTCATCTCTATGAGGAGATGCTGATTGGCCAGGACTGTGTTTGACTTGTGCTGGCTCTGTCCTTGATATACCTCCTTGACAGTCTCAGCCAATCCTATAGGAAAGCATTATGATTGGCTCAGACCGCCACTTCTGATGTTAGCAGGCAGGTCAGAATTTGCAAAAATAAATAAACAAATAATGGACTGCACTCCAATCACGTGAAGATCTGGGTGCTAAACTGGACCAAGGGCCAGCACCAGCCCCAGGGAGTAGATATCAGTGGTAGAAAGAGGATCCAGGGACTCCAAGTATCTTCAAATTTATTTATTGGGACAAGTGAGACACTGCAACGTTTCAACCCCTGAAAGAGTCTTTTTCAAACTTGACAAAGACCCATTATTGCCTTAAAGCCATTCTGTCACTATTTTCCCCCTGCCTGTATGTTCTAGTCCTGTGGACACAGGAGTTGCCAATTCCAGCAGTAACTGTGTAACATGGCTAATGGCTATGGTTCATGGAGGTTTCAGCCCATAATTTAATTAAGTACACCAGTCTCTACTATAAATATGACTGATGTAAATGCTGTGTATGACTTGGTGTACAACCTTCAGTCCCAATAGATGAATATGCCCCTTTAATTATTGACTATAATGTAGGATTCTGTTCTCCGCTTTGGTCTATAAATGACGTTTGCATATATAGCATGACAGAAAGCGTTTGCTTTGCATTGGATTTATCCTCCCTCAAATGGGTCACTCTTTGGAGAATTAATCAGCCTCTTCAGATGTGAAGCAGGTGCTGCTTGAGTTCCCCTCCTATTTGGGAAGGAGACCTGACATTTAATGGAGGTTGGTATATTTTGATTACGCATACATGTACTGCAATCAATCTGCATTTGCAGGATTGAAACTGTATTTTCACATATCTGAGGAATAAGGTGATAAGTAGTTTGAGCAAACTTAGCCGATTTTCATATCTGCCTTTGAACATAAACGCTCAACCTGAATGCTTTCCATTACAATAAGCCACCGCGGGCTGCTATTTGCTTTGCTCTCATGGACAGTCAAGGTGTGTTAAAATGCATTTCAATCAAATACACGCACGTATCTTTCTTTACTTTAACCCCTTAAGGACACATGACGTGTGACATGTCATGATTCCCTTTTTTTCCAGAAGTTTGGTCCTTAAGGGGTTAAACTAGGATTTGGTTTGCAATTACTCTGGTACCATAGTGGAGGTTAGTATTTCTGTGCAGCTTTTAAATGCTACATCCTATACAGCCCAATTTACACGTTTATTTCTTCATTAACTGGGTAACGTTTGTCGAAAGCAGTGAGGATCAAGTTATGTGTTTTGAAATACAGGCCTCAGAATACCTTATTTCAGTATGCTATTCTTCATTTACTTTTCTCTTAGTTGAATCAATTATGCTTATAACATGCAGTTACTTTTGGAATACCCATTTTATATAAATGCTAACTGTATCAGAGTGTACTTATTTTTGTCTGTGTATTTATACTCCTATCCCAATGTGCAAGCCGATAGGAAAGGCATGTTTGCTTATTTTTCACTTTTAAGAGATTATTGTTTGGGATGAAATTTCTCTTAAAGGGACACTATAGGTACTGAGACCATTTCATCTCACTGAAGTGGTCTAGGAGCAGTGTCCCTGTCCCCCTTAGTCCTACAATGTATAACATTGCAGCTTTAGAGAAATTACATTGCAGCACTAAGACTGCCTCTAGTGGCTAACAGATTTTACTGGACTTTAAAGGGACACTCCAGACACCCAGACCGCTTCTGCCCATTGGAGTGGTCTGGGTGCCAACTGCCACCACCCTTAACCCTGCAAGTGTAATTACTGCAGTTTTTAGAAACTGCAATAATTACCATGCAGGGTTAAGTCCTCCTCTAGTGGCTGTCTATCAGAAAGTGTTTTAAACAACGCTGGACGTCCTCACACTATGTGAGGACCTCCAGCGTCGCCAAAATCCCCATAGGAAAGCATTGAATAATTGCCATTGCCACGCATGTGCATTAGGTCTTCCCCGCCAGCTGATGTCCGCGGGGGAGGAGAGTAGGTGGAGCCTGATCCAGCACCGAGGGACATCAGCGCTGGATTCCGGTAAGTTGGGAGAAAGGGGGGCACTGTAGGGTCCTGCAGTGCCAGGAAAACAAATGTTTTTATGGCATTGGAGAGTCCCTTTAAGACCTGTAACTGACACTGGACGTCCTTAGGGCTCCCCTAATGAGCATTGGGCTTCCCTGTCGGATGATTCGGGAGGAGGCAGAGCTCCGACCCAGTGCTGAGGGACATTGATGGTGGAAACCGGTGTGTAACTGTGGTGGTGGGGAGGAACCAGAGGGAACTGTAGTAATGCATGGCTGTCCAGTTCTTGGCCTGTGGGCTGCAGTGAGATTTTATGAGTCCCGCCACATAAAATATCACAGACGGGCCTTTCATCTCCCCTACAAGCCTATGCAGAGCCAGCCAATGGCAAATGTTCTCCAAAAATTTATTTAAAAACTTGTAAACGAGAAAAGATAATGTGTTATACTGTTGTATATTAAAAATGTGTAAGGAATGCCACTCATGAGTGGAGAACATATATGCCTGCTCTAAACATTCAGCACATCAATATCCTTATCAAGGATCAGAGTAGCAGCAAGACAGAGAGAGCTGCAGCAGATGTAAACCAAATTGTTTATTTCACAGCTTTTTAAATCAAGTACACAAGCACCTCCAGCAGTTCGCTCTATCTTAGCGTGAAGTGTCCCCAGTCCTATTGGTTCGCTTAATGCAATTCCCCGGGCTGTCTACCCAAGCACTTTCTGGAGGCGGAGCATTGTCCGACACACGTGATGACGTGTGCGTACGTGATCATTTGTGCGTGGTTCCTTAACAAAATATTTAATATATAGATCCTATCAATTATATATTTTCTCTGTTTCCTTTATTTTGAGTATTTTGGAGCACATTTGCCATCTATTCAAGCCTGATACTTATTGTAAGTGGTTTTTAAATTTTTTTTTATTATATGCTCTTTTAAAGAGATTTTGCATGATTTTATGATATCCAAAAGCACCTCCTCTTTCTTTGCTGCTTCTGAATCCGCATAGGTGAGACTTCTGGCTTATGTGGCCTCCCTTATTTGCCTTATCATTCCTTGATGTTTTCCGGTTTTATTTTATGTGATTATACTGCATTACACATAAACTACATAGGCGTGCGCAAGGGAGCTGATTGGAGCTGGAGCAGGAGTGATGTCATATTCCGGCTCCGTCATCACTGCGGTGCGCGTGAGGGAGCTGGGCAGAGAGCGCTCAGGGGAGTATTCATCACTGCCAGCTCCTGTGCTCCCCATGAGAAGAGGCTGGCAAACTGGCGTACATACTCGCGCAGTGTGTGTGTTTGTGCTTTAGGGTGCACACCCTTATGCAATAGGCTGTGCACGCCTATGGTAACCTGTGTGCACATTCTATCCTGTCCTCTTTCATTCTCCTCTACTTCCTTATTTCTTCCTTTTCTTGGATCCACTTCAAGGATTACTGCTTTTGCCTTCCGTATTTGTTTCCATCCTTATTGGTTTGTGGTGCTGTGGTTTGATATTGCTATTTTCTTGCACCGTGTGGTTTGGCTTGGGGCTGTCAGGGCAATTTTTGGTTTATCTCATAGCTGTCTGTGGTACACAGTAAGACATCGCCTTGAGGCTGTGTTGCACGTGGTGGCCATCTTGGATCTTGTGCGATCACGACATCCTCAGCAGCCATCTTGTATTCAGACCCTGTGCTCACAGGAGGCTTTGAGAGCCATTCTGAGCTGCCACACCTTTTCTCTCCTCCAGTACCTGTGATTTATGTTTTGTTTCCAGCATAAATTTGCAGATTCTACGCTAGCATCATGCATGAATTTTCTTACACTATTGCTACAACTAAGGTGGTGATACTGGTGGACTGTTCATACAGTACTGGTAGTGTCGGTGTGATTATTACTTTAGAGAAACTACAATGATTACATTGTATTACCTTATTTTAGAGGTAAGCCCCTTGCTGTAACTGGGGGTGAGCAACCACTTAAATATTGCTAATGCACCTTTAACCTACGGTGCCTGACTGGGTTGAGGCTCCATTTATATTGACTGATCCCAACTGTGGGTTACTCCCTTTCCCTCCAACCATTTGGGCCACAAATTTCACTGCTACCTGGACAGTATTATAGAATTTGGGTGATA